CGGCCCATCCCCGTTTCCACCCGGTCCATCGCCCCAGCTGCGCCCACCCGGGCCCTCCCGGCTCCTGTGTCTCCCGCCGCAGCCCCCCTTCCTCTTAATCCGCCAGGCCCCTCCCCTCCCCTGGCTGCCGCAGCCCCTGTGATCCCCCCCCCGCCACCCGCCCCCGTGCCCGCCGCACCCACTGCGACAAGCCCCTTCCCCGCCAATCGCGGCGCCCTCCTCCCCCCGCGCCCGCCGCAGCCCCCGGCTCCCCGCCTGCCCCCTCCTCGCCGCGCCGCCAGCGCTGCCGCGTGTCCAGACCCCTGCGCGGCCGCTCCGGCTCCGCGGCTGGCCGTCCTCGTCCCTGGCTGCGGCGACTGGAGACTGGCGACCGGTATCGGGGCGCCCGGCACCCCCACGACACGGCGGGTGCCCGGAGCCTTTGTTCCGCGGCCGGGCCGGCCTCGCGCCCATCGCCGTCGCCAGCAGCCACCGGTGGCAGAGCCTTGGCCGGCCGGGGCCGCGGACCCTCCCACCCAGCGCAAAGGTGTCCCCGCGACTCCCCTCGGTTGCGGGTCGCAGTGCGTGGCGGAGGCTCTGCAGCGGCGGAGGGGCTCCTTGGCGACGCTGTCATTTGGGTGAAATGGTGGTGGGGGCTTCGGGCGGGCGGTGGGGGCGTGGGGAGCGGAGGGACGCCTGATGGGGCCAGGCTGGGGTCCTGGGGGCTGTGGATGCCCTTGGCAAGGAGCTGAGGTGCAGTGGCCCGTCCACCTTGCAGGTGGGGCCGAGGCTGCCTTCTGCTTCAACATCGGGAGCCCAGGTGGACAGGGACTGACTAGGGGCGCAGGCTTTTTAGGGGATGGGGCGAAAATGAGGGAAAGGCCCCCTGCAGCCTGGGCGGTGGGCGGTCCCCAGGAAACCTCCTGGGCCATTTGTGCAATGCACCTAGGAGGCTGCTGGATGGGGTCGGAGAGCAGATGGGGCAGGGGCCAGCTTCCTCAAGAGGGTTCCGGCTTGGGGAAGCCGCAACAGCCATCGGCAAGCCTGGAAGGCCCCGTTGCAGGGTGCGGAGCTGGGTGGAGGGCAGCGGTGGGAGGCCTAGGCTTTTCCCGCGCGTGCAGCCCAGCTCCAGCACCGTGGCAGGCAATGCGGCTAACAAATTCGGGTACCTTAGGCATTTGAGTCTGTTGACACAGGTTCTAGGACGACGCTGTAAAGGCACATAGAGCCGGCTTTACAGCCTGCACCTCCTGTGCGAGCCGTGGAAGCTTCTGGAGGGATGGGCGTGGCCTGGCGCCATCATCCCTCTGCAGTCTCCTTGGGAGGGCTCCAGAGCCACTGGTCACAGGCAGCTGCCAGGCTGGTCTGGACAAATGAGGTCTGCGACCATCATTGAGGGTGGTGGCCCTTGCCAGGACGGGAGTCTCGGTTACAGCTTGGGGTGATGGTGCTGATGAGGAAGGGGAGGCTGCTGGGTGGGGACCTGTCAGCAGGGAACAGGAATGTGTGACCTAAAAGGTCTCTAAGCCTCAGGCTGGTGGGGGCTTAGTGAGGAGCAGCAGCATTGGGGGGCCGGGAGCAGTCCAGATCTGGAGGTCTGGAGGGGGAAGACAGGACTGCAGCTGCCCAGGGAGCGAGAGCTCTGCGCTTTAACCGGAGGGCAGGAGCCCGGGCATCGGAGGCTTTTGGTTTAGGGGCTGGGCCTGGACAAGAAGTGCTAAAGGGACTCAGGTGGGGGACGAATCTGCCAGGAAACTAATAATCTCCTTCCCCCAAAAACTGTGGCAGGGAGGGAATTGTCCCAGTGACAGGGAGGGGAGCGCTGTGGAAGGATGGGTCAGCTATAGCAACTGCCTGGGGGATCCTGGGAGAAATGGTGGCCCAGCGGGGGCAGGCCTGGCGACCTTGACCCTTGCAACCGGAGCACTGGAGGGAGAGGTGGGCAGGAAGGGCTCCCTTGCCTCCCTGCTGGGGGAAGGGGAGGGGCTGTGGGGAACTCACCTCCTAGGTTGGAGAAGGGTATCAGAAGGGAGGTCCAGGAAGCCCAGGGAGAGGGATGGGGGAGGGTTCCCTCCTGGCCTGAGGCCCCTCCGTCCCCAGGTGTTGAGCTGAGAGGAGGGAGCAGCTGAGGGTGTGGAGAGTTAAGACGCCAGCGGACTCTTTCAGATCGCTCTCCAACCAGGCAGACCCCAGCTCCTGCATTCTGGGGAGGGGGGGGTGGAGATTGCTTTGCTGGCCTGCGGGGCACTTTGCAGAGCCCACCTCTGCCATCTGATGTCCAGGACCAAGACCTATGGGGCCGAGGCCTGCACTGGGCCGGAGCGAAGAAGGTTGGCAGCAGGAGGCCACCTGCCTTTGACTGCGCGTCCCACCGGCAGCGGGCCTCAGGGGGCCGCCTCGGCCCAGCCTGCCCGGGGCTCCCAGGCCGGCGCCCAAGCTCTGGCTCCGTGTCTTCACTCCCGTGTTTGTCCGAGGAGGGAGGGAGGGACGGGGGCTGTGCTGGGGCAGCCGGAACAGCGCAGGTCACCGGGCCGGCTGGGCGAGGTGGCCGAGCAGGGCTGGGGGGCAGCAGGGGAGACTGAGGGGTGGGGGTGGCTGGCAGTGCCAAGGAGTCCCCCAGAATCTGCAGGTGGGGGGAGCTTCCCATGTCCCCTGGGTGTTTGGGGCCTCACCTGTTTGCGTCTCTCATCAACCTCTCCTGTCTGCATGGTGGGGCGTGGGGAGTGGGTCCACCAGGGACCCCAGGAGGGATGTGGAGGAGCCACCGAGCCTGCCGCCCCGCCCATCCTCACTGCCTGGGAGTGCTGGGGCAGCCGTCCTGAGTCTTGGGCCAGTCCACCCATTGCCTGTGGCCCAGCCAGCCTGGCCTGGGTGCCCTGTCACAGCTGAGCCCAGGGTGTCACCAGGAAGCCTCGGCTGGCACCTGCCACACCCTCCCCCAGGCAGGTTTCCCACCCGCCACCAAACGCGCCGCTGTCCTATGTCCAACTGACTGGCGCCCTTCTGGTCTGGTGGCCTGGGTGGGTGCACAGGGCCCCATCACAGCCTGCACCCTCAGAGAGACGCCTCCTGAGTCTGCAGGCCCCAGGAAAGGACCCGGAGGGGCGGTTCCTGCTCTAAATCCTGCCCCAAGGGGCAGGACTGGGGCTGAATCCCATCTGTGAACAAAGCTGCAGAGGGAATGACGGTCCCTGGCCAGGGTACCTGTGTCCCAGCCTTCCTGCCTCCGGGCACCTTCCCACCTGTGTGAGGAGTGGGGGAGGGGTGCCCCTTCTCTGCTAGGCACCAGGGCGCTCAGAGCCAGGCTATGTCCTCACCCCAGCTGGCTCCCACAAGGCCCTCCTGGCCTGAGACTGTTTCAGGCTCCCACTCCTCGCTCCAGCAGGTATCTGGGGGCAAGGGGGTTCGGGGTACAGGTGCACTTGCCCGGCCCGCTCTGTCTGCTGCGTAGGAACTGAAGCCCAAGCCCCAGGGATTCCCTGGATATGCAGCCCCTGCGGAGGGCTCCTCCCGCCCAAGCCACAGCCCCCTGCATCCAGACATTCCAGAACTCAGACGGGGAAAAGAGGAAGAGCAGGGACCCCTCTAGGATGAGACCCCAACTCAAAAAGCCGGACTGCGGTTGGGGAGGGGCCGCCCTTGCACCTCGACCCCCCCCTCGCTCTCTAGGCCCCTCTGACAGCTCAGCTGGGTGATGTCACATCAGGCGCAGAGGCTCCCAAGGGGCCAAGCGGCAGCCACCAAGCCCGGATTCGGGCTCTCTGTTCACTCCCGCAACCTCAGCCTCCTCCCTGGGTGTGTGCTTGAGGGTGCGAAAGATCGGCAGCCTCAGCCTGACCCAGGCATTTGCTCTCCGGGCCGTTACCTAGGTCCCCACCCCAGATGGCTTCTGGTGGCGAAGGGCTGCCTGGGCTCCTGCAGGCCCCTCTGCACTGGGGCTGCAGATGCCCAGTCCCACCGCCATGCAGGGCTGCCCCCTCCGTGGTGCTGACAGCTCCCCAGGACGGCCTCAGCCCGGGGCCTCCCCCAGCCTGACCTGCCTCTCCTCCCTGGCCTGACCCTCCCTCCCTTCCAGCTGACCCCCAGGCAGGAGCAGAAGCCTGTAGGGCCTGCCGCATTCCAGCCACCCTGGGCCAGGGTCCCAGGACGGGAGGGGGCAGGCTCTCAGGCCTCAGCCCTGGCCCGAGGCAGCAGTCCTGAGGAGCGTTTCTGGAATTCCTGACTCCCCCTTGGCCCTCCCCTCTGACCAAACCAGGATCCCGCCTCCACCTCTCCACTGCCTGACCCGGGCCAGCACCAGAAGGGCCTCAGAGGTGGGGGGTGAGGCCCACGGGGGGCAGCATGGCCCGGCGAGTGTAGAATTCTGGGCTCAGCCGGAGCCACGTGCCGCCTCACCCTGTAGCCGGGACAGGAGACCTCACCTCTGTAAGCCCCGGGTCCTGGTTAATCGAAGGGGGTTGCCGCAGCCTCATCACAGCGAGATGCACACCCTTTTAAGTGTGCAGCTTTTCTTGATGCCACACACGTGCCCCAGGTCGTCACGTCACCTGTGGCGGCACTGAAGGGTCCCGAGCTGTGCACAGCAGGGCTGAGGGTTGACGCAAAGCCTGTCCCCACTCCCCACAGGAGGTGAGGCTCTCTGATGGCAGCATTGCTGTTACTGCCCAGGTCACTGGAACAGAGCAGCCCGGGGCAGACTGCAGAGGAGGGGACTCCACCAGGACACACAGGGTCCAGTGTCCCCTTCGTGGGGCCCGCCGCCTGCACCAGATCATACCTGCCCCCCCCCCCCACCAGACTTGTGCCGGTGTCAGGCACGGGAGCCATGGGACGCAGGCCAGGCCTTTTCCTGCCCCACACTCCACCGTTTCTGCCGTCACCCAGCACACCCCCAGGCTGCTCTGCTGCTGAGCTGTGCGCCACCCTGGGTCTGCCATCCTTCTGCCCAGGAGAGGGTGAGGCTGCCCACCCGGCTCCCAGCTCCGTCCCAGCTCCTCGCTCACGCCAGCCGTTCCCCGCAGGTGAGCACCTGCGGATCTGTCCCCAGGGCTACACCTGCTGCACCAGTGAGATGGAGGAGAAGCTGGCCAACCGCAGCCGCGCCGAGCTGGAGACCGCGCTCCGGGACAGCTGCCGAGCCCTGCAGGCCATGCTCGCCGCCCAGCTGCGCAGCTTCGATGGTGAGTGCCTCGCAGGGTGCTGGGCACGGGGGGACAGGCGCACTGTCAACACGGAGGGTGGGGGATTCGCAGGAGGGGGTGGGGAAGTTTGTGCTTTAGGGCTGGGGTGCTGGGTTGAAGTCCCAACTGGGTGTGGCGGCTGCCCTCAAGCCGGGATCTGCAGGGTTTGACACCCAGCTGGGGGTGTGCACAGCCCATAACCAGTTTGCATTTGGGGACAGAGGTCCTGTCGTGTCAGCCCCTTAGATGCTCCTGTCCCCAGCAGATTCTCCCGAGCGTCCCCGGGGACCAGGTGGCCTGGACCCAGGGCGCTCAGTTCGAGGGCTGAGACACGGGGGCTGGGGACAGAGCTGCAGAGGGCCAGGCCTGCCCAGAGTGGCCGCCACTCAGCCCTTTATACCGGGGCAGGAGTTTGGGACCCCTCAGGCCTCCCGGCCCGTCAACTGCTGGGTCAGAGCTGCACACTCCTCAGCCCCGGGCCAGGCCTCACCATGTATCCGAGCACAGAGCATCGGGCACCCAGGAAGCGATCTCTGATCAGAAACACAAGAACTCCGTGGAGAGAGGCTGCCTGGGCTGAGGTCCTGCCCCTGTGGCCAGGGGGGTCTGGGGCATCCGGAAACTGAGCCTGAGTAGATGGGAGGAGCGGAGCGCCGAAGCCGCAGGGCTCCGTGTGGCCATGGGGGACAGCCGCTGCTGCTGGGCCCTGAGATTTGTCTCAATGTCCCTGCCTCTCTGGCTCCTGGACACCTGCTGTGACCTCCCAGGCTCCAAGGAGGGTCTGCTGTCCCCAGGAGCCCCCAAGGCCATTTCCACAGGGCTTCAGTGGGTTCAGAAGCTCCCTCTCTGTGACTTCGACATCGATGCTCAAAGCTCAGCCCCCTCCTCCCACCCCCGTGTGGGACCCACGGGACGCTGTGGACCCTCTGGGACCCTCCCTCCTCCTGCCCAGCTGGACTCAGGGAGCAAGTCCCTACAGCCCAAGTCAGGAGCCTTCCCTAGCCCCTTGCATCTGTCCCAAGTGTGGGGACCCCCTCTCACCTCCTCCACTCCATCCTGGGCCTCAGTTTCTCCGAAGCGTCACTAAGCCCTGGCTCCAGCCCCAGCATGCCACCAGCCCTGCCCCTTCCCCCTCCTGCTAAGACCCCCCCGCCCCTCACCCACCTCGTCCGCCTGCCTCTTCCTAGCTCTGAGGGTTCCATGTCCCCGCCCCACTCTGAGGCACCTCCCGTGCCAGCAGCCTGCCGCCACCCTCCCTCCGCTGCCCCCTGGAAGCCTCCAGCCTTCCTGTTAGACTCTCCTGTCTTTGACATGAAAACACAGACACCCTTTGGGGACACTAATTTGTGTTGAAAATGCCCAAGGCCCACCTGTGCTCTGACCCCCAGGAGTCCTGTCCAACCCCCTCCGTGTCCCCCTCCCCACCTCCACCCCATTGGCAGCTGCTGGTCCCTCCTGGCCTGCAGAGGAGGCAGCCAAGGAGCCCCCCAGTCTTTGCAGTGCTGGTGGGAGCTGGTAGGAGCCTGGCTGGGCCCCTGGTTGTTATGTTTGAGGATTCGGAGTCCCCTGCCCGCCCCCGCCACCAGCCATCAGGGGCAGCTTCGAGGGGCCTGGCAGGAGGGAGAGCTGGGGGCTGCCCTGGGGTGTGGCCCGTGGCCCTGCAGGTATGTCTGGGATAACGCATGAACTGTAAACTGCCCCTTTCTGGAAGAGGCCAGGGTGTTCCGGGCGCCAGGACCTGAGGCGGACACTGGACAGCCGCATGGCCCGTCCACCCTCCCCACAGTGGCCTGGGAGCTGCCCCTGTCACCCCTGTAGCCCCAGGCCTTGCCAAGGCCAGCATGGGGGCTGGTCCAGAGATCTCAGGCCTGGCAGCCATCATGCCTCGGAGGAGAACCTCTGTCCCGCATCCCTGGAGCACCCCAGGAGGGCCGTTGAGCCCCTGGTACCTGAGGGCAAGGCCGGCCACAGCCCTGGGGAAGCTCTGAGCAGTTACAGACCTGGAAGGCATGGGGGAGTCCGGGGTCCCATCCTAGGCACCGGGCACAGGGGCTCTTCCCCAAGCCATGGAGCCTGCCGCACACGTGGAGTCTGAGTTTGGGCCTGGACCTCCCACCCCCACGCTGGGGCTCTGGTCTATGGGAGGCCCCGCAAAGCCCTCAGACAGGTTTGGGGTGCTCAGAGCTGAGGCCTCTGGATCGCAGAAGCTGGGAGAAGACAGGAAGCCCAGGAGAGCAGCAGAGACGGGTGGGGCGAGGGACCCCTCCCGGGCTGGGGCCACAGGGAGCACAGGTGGGACCAGTGGAGAGCAGGGGCAGCTGGCAGGGAAGCACAGAGCAGCCCGGCTGCTGCCGTCACCCCAGGGGGCTCCAGCTCTACCAGCAGCGCCTCCCCGGGTGTTCCTGGGGGAGCATCTGTCCCTGCCCAGAGCTCAGCTCAGAAACAGCCACTGGAGCCCCAGTCAGAGCCCCTGAGACCCTAGACAGGACCCTGCCACGTGGGCCTCTGCTCCCCAGGCCAGGGGTGAGGTCTCGGGGAGCCCCATGGATGCTCACAGGGCCCCCGCAGGCCTCACGCCCCTCCCTGTGTGCAGACCACTTCCAGCACCTGCTGAACGACTCGGAGCGGGCGCTGCAGGACGCCTTCCCCGGCGCCTTCGGAGAGCTGTACACGCAGAACGCCAGGGCCTTCCGCGACCTGTACGCGGAGCTGCGCCTGTACCACCGCGGCGCCAACCTGCACCTGGAGGAGACGCTGGCCGAGTTCTGGGCCCGCCTGCTCGAGCGCCTCTTCAAGCAGCTGCACCCCCAGCTGCTGCTGCCCGACGACTACCTGGACTGCATGGGCAAGCAGGCCGAGGCGCTGCGGCCTTTTGGGGAGGCCCCCAGAGAGCTGCGCCTGCGGGCCACGCGTGCCTTCGTGGCTGCTCGCTCCTTCGTGCAGGGCCTGGGTGTGGCCAGTGACGTGGTCCGGAAGGTGGCTCAGGTGCGCCCCACTCCCAAGGCTCCCAGACGCCCCTGCAGACCCCCACACTCCCCCAGAGTTCCCAGGAGCCCCCAGCAGCCCCTCCAGACCCCCGCGCTCTGCCCAAGGGACTTCATATTGCCCCTACTTCTACCCTGTATCCCTGGGCCTCCGGGCCGGCCTCCAGCGTCAGCCCTGCAGCCTCAGTCCCTCTTGCACTGGCTGCTGCCCACGGCCTGGATGTGAGCCCACCCATAGATGTGAGCCCTGCTCCAGGCAGGCAGCTCTGGGCTGGCCCGCCCCTGCCCAGCACCATCTTGGGCCAGGATGGGAAGGGCCAGGGGCCAGGTGCTGGATGCTGAGCAGACCGTGGAGTCCAGATGGACGGGAGACGAAAGAGAACATGTGGGGACCGGGCAGGGTGGGTCTCCCAGGCCTCGCAGGCCAGTACGTGTCAGACCCAGCTAGGCTGGGAAATGGGGCCTCAGACCCACATGCCCTGGTGGGATCTGCCCCCACCTCCAAGCTCTTTGGTAGTCATCCCCGACCCGAGTTTGCTCAGCGGCGTGCGGGCGAGGATATTCATGCCTCCCTGTGAGCATGAGTAACAGCAGAGTGTCCCTTGACCCTCGAGATCATTAGAATGAGGGCTGGCAGGGCCCCGAGGAGGGCGGGGCCAGGCAAGGGCCACTGCAAGTTGGGGCAGAGCAGAGACCTCCCCTGACTTCCCTCCAGAGCCCCCAGTCCTGGGGCTCCATTGTGGGCTGGTCAGGGGCCAGCACGCCCAGGGCCTTGGGGCCCGACTCAGGCTGCCTTGCTCCCCAGGTACCCCTGGGCCCGGAGTGCTCACGGGCTGTCATGAAGCTGGTCTACTGTGCTCACTGCCTGGGGGTCCCTGGCGCCAGGCCCTGCCCCGACTATTGCCGAAACGTGCTCAAGGGCTGCCTCGCCAACCAGGCCGACCTGGATGCCGAGTGGAGAAACCTCTTGGGTGAGCCCCTGCCTGCCAGAGTAGCTGGAACTGTCTTGGGACGGTGTCTTGGGGAGTGCACAGCAGGGGGTCCTGGGAGGCGAGTGGTCCCTAGCTTGGGGCTTGGACCCAGGGGCCTGATCAAGGATGCCCTAACCAGGACCAGATCTGGGTGGCGCTGCAGGGTGAGGGGCAAGGATGACTTTTGGATGTCCTGCGTGATGTGTGACATGGGGCGGCTGCCAGGGAGGGAGCCCTGTGGGGTTGTCATTTCTTGTCCTTCCCCACCGAGCAAGTGCCTCAGTGTGCATACATGCCAATGTACACGCCAACACACGTCACTCACAGGGGCAGCACTCGCGGAAGCTAGCACTTATACGTGCTGTCGCGTGATGGGCTAACACGTGTGAGCTGATGTGACGCTGACGCAGCGGGCCAGTGCCCCCGGTGCAGTGTGTGCTCCAGCATGCCTGTGCTGACCTGAGCTGGGCTGACCCGTATCGATGTCAGCACATGTGTGCTCACGTGTACATTCTCACCCTAACCCGCTAACACGTCCACATGCTTACCTGAGGTGGGAACGCCTGCATCTGTGCCAACACATGCTAGCATGTGTGACGTGGGACCAACACGTGTGTGCTAGTGTGATGGGAAGGTGTCAACAGCTGCATGAGCCGACGTGGACAGACACATGGAGACACTGCAGGCCGGCGAGCGGACAGAACGGCCTCCGTGTGTGTGCGTGTTCACCTCTGCCCATGGCACGTGTGCACCGTGGGCGTGGACCAGGCCAAGTGCACGTGGCCTGCACACGTCACACAAGCTAACCCGAGTGCACTCAGGTCTCCCCTGCCGACCAGCCGGTGCTGTCAGGACCGTGCGTTAGCGTGTGCGTGTGGTGACACACATCTGTTACCTCCGGTGCTGTCAGGACCGTGCGTTAGCGTGCGTGCGTGGTGACACACGTCTGTTGCCTCCGGTGCTGTCAGGACTGTGCGTTAGCGTGCGTGCGTGGTGACACATGTCTGTTACCTCCGGTGCTGTCAGGACCATGCGTTAGCGTGCGTGCGTGGTGACACACGTCTGTTACCTCCGGTGCTGTGAGGACCGTGCGTTAGCGTGCGTGCGTGGTGACACATGTCTGTTACCTCCAGTGCTGTCAGGACCATGCGTTAGCGTGCGTGCGTGGTGACACATGTCTGTTACCTCCGGTGCTGTCAGGACCATGCGTTAGCGTGCGCGTGTGGTGACACGTCTGTTAACCTCCCGTGCTAGACTCCATGGTGCTCATCACCGACAAGTTCTGGGGCGCGTCAGGTGTGGAAAGTGTCATCAGCGGCGTGCACACGTGGCTGGCAGAGGCCATCAACTCCCTCCAGGACAACAGGGACACGCTCACAGCCAAGGTGCGGGCAGGAGGGCGTGACAAGCCCAGCGGGGCGGGGGTCCCGGATGTGGCCCCGTCGGACCTGAGGGGCCCTGCTGCTCCCCAAGGATCCTGCGGTGTCTCCCCAGGTCATCCAGGGCTGCGGGAACCCCAAGGTCAACCCCCAGGGCCCCGGGTCTGAGGAGAAGCGGCGCCGGGGCAAGCTGGCCCCAAGGGAGAGGCCACCCTCAGGCACGCTGGAGAAGCTGGTGAGCGGCCCCCACCTGCCCACCGGGCTAGGCACGAGGGAGGCAGATGGGCAGAGGCGGGCTGGGCCTGGCAGCACCATGGCCTGACTGTTGCCCCGCAGGTCTCTGAGGCCAAGGCCCAGCTCCGCGACGTCCAGGACTTTTGGATCAGCCTCCCAGGGACACTGTGCAGCGAGAAGATGGCCCTGAGCACTGCCAGTGACGACCGCTGCTGGAACGGGATGGCCAGGGGCCGGTAGGTGCCCGCCTGGCTGGCACATCCCTCCCGCTTATGCCGTCCTCCTTGGGCTGGGCCTGGGCCGAGTGCCGTATGCACAGGGCCGCGTCCCTCGCCGGAGGCCTTGAGGCCCACTTCTCTGCGGCCTGCGTGGGCTCTGCTTGGTCCCTGGAGGCCTGCGGGGCAGGCTCGGAGGATGGCTGTCCTGCTCCAGTGATGGCCCTTTTCAGGGGCTGGAGCAGTGACCTGAGCTCTCCCCACCTTGCCCCCAGCTACCTCCCCGAGGTCATGGGCGACGGCCTGGCCAACCAGATCAACAACCCGGAGGTGGAGGTGGACATCACCAAGCCGGACATGACCATCCGGCAGCAGATCATGCAGCTGAAGATCATGACCAACCGGCTGCGCAGTGCCTACAACGGCAACGATGTGGACTTTCAGGATGCCAGTGAGGGCGCGGCCCAGCGGGGGGGGGCGGGGGGCGGGGCCGGGGGCGGCGGGGTGCTGAAGGGGGGCACTGCCCTCCAGATTCCCCCACATGAGGAGCCTCAGCTCCAGCATCACTGCAGTGACTGAGGACGCTGTGCTGTCCAGGCACGATCACCGAGCCCCGTGCCTCTGCGGTGCCCTGGGACCCTGGCCAGGATGTCTGTCTGGCTTTAGGTCTGGGGACAAAGGGCGGTCGCCCCAGGGAGTGAGCATCTCCCAGCCTCATGGGTTGTGAGGATCGGGTGCTGCAGGCAGGGTGCGGCTGGCCCTGGGCTTCCACACCGAAAGGATGTCGGGGTCACCTGGCACGTGGCGCCCTCGCTGGGGTCTCCGGTGGGGACCAGCCTGCCGGAGCCTCCTCTCCTTCCCAGGTGACGATGGCAGCGGCTCGGGCAGCGGCGATGGCTGTCCAGATGACGTCTGTGGCCGGAAGAACAGCAGGAAGAGCTCCAGCTCCCGGACGCCCCTGACCCATGCCCTCCCAGGCCTGTCAGAGCAGGAAGGGCAGAAGACCTCAGCTGCCAGCTGCCCCCAGCCCCCCAGCTTCCTCCTGCCCCTCCTCCTTGCCCTGGCCCTCACAGTCGCCAGGCCCCGGTGGCGGTAACTGCCCCACGGCCCCAGGGATAGAGGCCAAGGACTGACTTTGCCAAAAATACAAAACAGACAATATTTAATTCCCCTCGGCCCAGGGAGGCCTGGGGTGGGACAGGGAGGGCCGGTGGCTCTGAGCAGGGGTGGCCCCCGGCCTGGCCTCGCCTGCCTCTCTGCCTTTTAATTTTGTATGAGGTCCTCAGGTCAGCTGGGCACCAGTGTCCCCACAAGCCATGTATTTCAGGGACCTCAGGGGCACCCCCAGCTCCCTGCACCGCTGCAGAAGCAGCGCCTCAAAGCAACCCGCTGGAGCCACGGCCAGCCTGTGCCTTCCTCCCCACCTCCCGCTGGGACTCCCGCCCGAGCCCCCCAGCCAGGTCTGGCCCACCCCTCAGCCTCAGAGAAGCCCCACAAGGGCCGTCTGAGTGACGACCGTCTAGCGGAGCCTCTGAGACGCATGATGCCCTCCCCTCCACGAAGCTGCAGAGCCCAGCCCCCACCTCCCCGTGTCGTTGAGGGGCCCCGGGTCTGCAGGGTGGGCTGGGAAGGCGCCACGGCTGGGGAGCCTCTGAGGACTCTGTCCTCCCCCTCCCTGCGGCGAGGGGCCCTCCACGCTCAGAAGAGGGGCCACTGACCCACCTGGGCTTCTGCTGGAGGCGCGGGAGCTGGGCCAAGCGTGGCCTCCACGGATGTGGGCTGCCCACTTATACACGGGGCTCACAGGGCAGGCCTTGCTGGGGTCCGGGGCTGCGTGAGGACCCCAAGGGCTGAGGAGCAGCCTGGACCCACCTGCTCCCACCTTCACCCAGCTCAGGAACCAGGGCCTCCCTGTTCAGGGTGACACAGGCCAGGGCTCACAGCTCACAGGGACCCGCGGCTGTCACCTGCTCACAGGGCTGCTGGTGTCTGGGGAGACGCAGTGCTGCAGACAGGAACGCCTAAGTCCCTTCCCGACCCGGCCAGCTGCAGGGGACAGGGGACTTGGATAGTTAAGGGCTTTTCCAAACATGCATACATTTACTGACAATTCCTGTCCTCGTTCACTGAGAGCTGTTCACTCCTCCCAAATAGCTTTGGAGGGACATGGGGCCCTCCTTGGACCCTGGCAACCTCCTGTATCGCTGAGGCCATCAGGACCCTGGACAGGCCCTCCCTCCTGTACTCCAGGCGGCCCTAGGGAGGGGTGGCCTGTTGGGAAGGAGTCCTGCAGGGGGAGGAGGACTCGGGGTCTGGGGCCACCGTCCTGACCGCGCTGACCCTGAGGAGGCCGCTTAGTGCTGCTTTGCTTTTCATCACCGTCCCACGGTGGATGGAGGTCCCGGTCGCTGGTCAGGTCCCCGTGGCTTCTGTTCTCTGGAGCCTGACTTCAGACGTCTTGGGTTCAGGACCCCCTGACACAGGCATGTCTACCCCATAATAACCCTGCCAGTGATGGGGTGGGTGGGAGACTGGTACAGCAATGCCAGGCGCCAGGACAGCAGCGCTCCTGCTGCACACGTACAGCCTGGGGACGGCGCCAAGGCCCCCTGCGCCCACCTGTGGAGGGGCAGCCCTGGGTGGTCACTGGTCAGGGCAGTGGCCCAGCCTGCGTGTCCTTCCTCCACGACGCCCCCCACCGCTCAGTGTCAGCGGGTGCCGTGTGTTCTTTTGAGTCCTTGTATGAATAAAAGGCTGGAGACCTACAGCATGGGGCCTCATGGGGGAGCGGGGGAGAGAGTGTGTGTGTGTCTGTGCGTGCACAAGTCTGGGGCTTGGGCATGGACTGCGCTGCCATGTCCGGGGTGAACTGCAGCCCCTGCCAGCTGCACCCTTCAGCCTGTTGGCGGCTCCACCTCGCCCTGGGCAGACTCAGGCCTGTCCACACCTCTCCTTGGTGCAGGGGAGAAGGAAGAGGCCAGGCACAGAGACCCAGGCAGCCTCCAGCATACCCCTTCCCATTCACCCCTTCCCACTTCCTACCCCTGCTCTGGGCGCACACAGCACAGAGATTCTCTACCCCTGGAAGGTTCTGGTTCCTGCCAGGTGGCCTCGGAGATGCCCAAGGGGCCAGAGAGAAGGAACCAGCATTGTCCCAAGGATTCCCTCCTGGTCCAGTCTGTCTCCAGCCACCTTTCTCCCAAAGCCGAGGGTCCTGCGTAACCCCAAGGGGCTCTCTGTAGCCCCCCTCCTGATTCCGTGGGGTCGTGCCAGAGACAGCAGTGGCAGAAGCGCCCGCTCTCCCAGGTGTGTCCCTCAGCTGCATTATTGGGAATTGCAGCCAGCACTGGTTGGCCTGGTGAATGTTTGAACATTGTGCTTCCATCACCTGGGACTCAGGAACACGGCCCTGGCAACTGTGATTTCCAGGCCCCTGTGTGAGAGCACAGAGAAGGGGGTGGCACCCGGAGGGAGACACGTCTGCACACAGCCCCACTGAAGGCCACTGCTCAGTAGGGCACAGCTCCGGGCAGGACTGAGGGTGCACACAGGCCTCCCTGGAGGCATCCTCAGTGGCAGGTTCCTGGTGGCCACTGTTGTCACTTGTGGACCCCCCCTATGAGTCCCGGAGGCCCAGCTCCCCTGGGAAATGAGGGTGGGGTGGCGTCCTCTCCCTGGGCAGGCCAGGGGATGCAGCCGGGGTGCTCAGCAGGGCTCCTCGGGGACAGGTGAGCAGCCAGATGCTCACTGGTGGCTGTCGCTGCAGGCGACGTGTCTGGTCCAGCCCGGAAGGATCTCAGCCTTCCAGGGCGCGGCCCAGCCCCGCTGCTTCAATGCTCCCACGGTCCTTTCAGAACCGGGCAAATGCATCTTTCCAGCGAGGGAAAGGCCACAGGTGTGCTGTGTACTCTGCAGAACAGCCACCAGGCCAGGACTGCGTGGGCAGGGGCCACCTGCCAGTCTCAGCCGTGCCTGCCCGGGCCACACCTCAGACCACCAGTGAGCTCCCAAGTCCTGCCCACCCCAGTGCTGCCCCCAGAGGCTGCTCAGGGAGAGACCTCGGCCCCCTCCAGCCATGACTGGCTCAGTCCTCTCCCATCCTCACAGAAGTTCCAGAAGCCACAGACAAACTGACCCACCCACACTGACGGCAGAGAGCAGTGCCTCAGCCAGCCTCCCTCGAGCAGCCCAACCCAGCCACAGTGGCTGGCCCCAGCATCCCACACCTTCTGTGGGCAGCCCTGGCAGGCCAGCATGGGCGTCTGCTCCATGTAAACATGCACACACACACATGCACAATCCACAGGTACGCACACACACGCACACCTACACAGGTACACATGCACACTCCTACACAGGTACACACACGTGCACACTCCACAGGTACACACACACACACCTACATAGGTACACATGCACGCACATGCATGTATGAATATGTACATAGCCCTGTGCATGCACACATAAGCACACACATCCATCCACGTGCACACACACTCCTGAACATGCACACACTTTCACACGCACATGCCCATACACACACAAGCACGTGCACACTCAGCATGTGTACACATGTAGACATGCATGCACACATTATATGCACAGTACACACACGCACTCACAAGACACTCAGACACTCCTGTCCAGGTAACCCTAAGCATTCTTTATCTGAGGACGAGGCCCTCTGTGGAGGAACACCATTTACAATCGCAGTGCTCCCCGAGATTGAGGTAGACTCACTGCCTCCTCTAAGCCCACCTTCCTCCTGCCCTAAGCCACGGCTGACATCACAGAAGGACCATAACTGGGCATCCGTCTCTCCACGGGACACTGAGGGCAGGTGGCATATGTCACAGCCATCAAAGAAAGGGGTGGAGTCTAGGGCAGGTGTGGTTCTGAGAGACCCCAACAACTAAGCCCCCGCAGCTTTCCCGAGGGTGGGTGAGGGGCAGTGAGCCATGCCGGCTTCACAGACAGACGCCAGGGCTGTGGACAGGCCGCAGGGAGTCGCTGCCCAGTAAGCCTCCCCTCCGTGCACAGGAGCCCCTCCCAGATGAGGCCACCCCCCAAAGTGAAGCCAGTGAGTCTAAACCGTTCCCTCCTCCTTTCACATGCCCTGGAAATGTGAGCAGGAACCTCCATGGTTTCTAGCACAAACCCATGTTTATACTCAATCCGGGAAGGCACAAAAAAGAGCCAGTAAAAAGCTTACAGGACACGTCAGAATACCAGCGTCAGCCTGGGAAATCAGACCGACTGTCCTGGTGTGAGAATTCCAAGAAACAGGAGCAAACGCTGGGAAATGTTGACTTTAAAAACATGACAGCAACACACGACTCCATGAAAACAACCCCCTTCCCTCACGGAACACAGGAGACTCCATGAAAACAACCCCCCTTCCCCACACACACATCCAAATTCTGGGGAGAAAAAAACTGGTTTCGCAAGCTCAGTCCCTGTCTGAGGTCACAGGAGAGCTACAGACCCCATGTGCTGAGAAGAAAAAGAAACTGAGAGGCTTCAGTGAATGGGAGGCAGGGAGAACAGTGTATCAGACACAGAAACGCCCTCTCAGGATGGAGGCTTGGGAGGGGTGGGCACGCACAGGCCTGGGGGAGGGCTGGGGGCTGGAACTGAGACCCCCGGCGACCTGGAACCTCAAAGAAACAACTGAGTCATCCTGTGGCCAGAGATGGGCCAGGAAAGCATTTGCTGCCTGGGGATCTGGGCAGAAAAAAAATCCTCCATGAAGAATCACTGGCTGGTGACAGAAGCGCCTGGAAGTTTGTCCACAGTGAGGCAGTGACATTCCCTCCGAGAAATCACAAAGCCTCAGGGACATGAGCTCAAATTCTACAAAATTTCAAAACACTTAAAAAAAAAAAATCCACCGCCAGAGCCAGCACCCTGAGACCTTTAGGTGACAGAGCAAACTGCAATGGTCTATGCAGTAAGTGTTTTGTGCTATCAAAGAGAAAACGGGGAGAACTAGAAACCATAAGGACCAAACAATTCCGTTTCTAAAAGGAAAAGAAATCAGAAAAAACACCAGATGGAAGTCACGTCCAAGATGGCGGCACAGGGGGTCCCCTGCTTTCAGCCACCCATTGCAGCAAGAATTTGGCAGCCATCCACGTGCAAAGTGCCTTTGCGGGAGCCTCGGGACTCTAGTGCCAGGCTGATGGAGCTCAACTGAGAGGGGCTGTTGTAAGAGGGCAGCTTCGCACCCAGGTGGCAGGCTCGGCAACCGGGGTCCTGTTGCAGATCCAGGAATGGCCTCATCCCCCGTGGACTCAACGACAGCCTCCTTTGGCTCTCCTGCCACATGAAGCATCTGCCCAGGGACCTCGTGGAAGACACACCAGTCCGTCGCCTGGAGGGAGGCCCACCAAGCTTGCTCCACTGCAGATCCCGAAGCCACCCTGTACGTCAGCTCCAGCCTCTCAGCTGCAGGCTGAAAGCAGTCCTGCCTTCCCAGGGACTTCCTGGGAGACGCTCTTGTCTGCGTCAGGCCAGTCCACCTCAATCCTACAGAAGATCCTGAAATGGTCCTGAGTTTGCTTCGGGCTTCCCCAGTCCTGCCCACCCAGGGGCCGCTGGGAGATAAGCCCGTCTGTACACGGGAGGCAGGCCTCCCTGTCGAAGTCCAGCTGCACAGGCTGAAGGAGCCCGGTGACCCAGCCCTAGCCCCATGCAGCCATGGTCTGAAGGCAGTCCCCAACAGGAGGTGTGCCCATCTGTGCCCCCAGAGGCAGGCCTACAGGCCTCAGTCTCAGCCGTGAACCTTAAAGCAGCCCGTGACTTGGTTTCCCCCCCTTTCAACCACAGTCTGGGGTCAGTCCTGCCTGTCAGGGACTCACCCAGCGACTGGGTGCATGCTTGCCCCAGAGCTAGCCCTATTCCTCAAGGTCTTAGAGGCAATCCAGCCTGCCAGGGACCAGACATGATCAATGCCTGCTCTAACCCTGAAGAGGCCCACCCGCTACAAACCCCACTGTAGGCTCAGCAGCAGCCATGTGGCTAAACTGTAATTCTGGAGGCAATCCCTTCAGAGACCCAACAGATCTTTACGTGCTAAAAGCAGTTTGCAAAGGCTGAAAGAGGTGTTTGCTCTGTCAAATGGAGACACCAATGAAAGGCTATGTGAATACCAAAGAATCAAGACAACATGACGCCACAGCTGGGCACAGTGGCTCACATCTGTAATCCCAGCACTTTGGGAGACCAAGGCAGGTAGGTCACTTGAGGTCAGGAGTTTGAGATCGGCTTGGCCAACATGATGAAACCCAATCTCTACTAAACTATAACACTTAGTCGGATGTGGTGGGGCATGCTTGTAATCCCAGCTACTTGGGAGGCTGCAGTGGGAGAATCGCTGGAACCCAGGAGACAAGGTTGCAGTAAGACAAGATTCTGCCACTGTACTCCAGCCTCGGTGACAGAGTCAGACTCCATCTCAACAACAAAAAAAATGATGCCACCAAAAGAAATTAAGCTCCAGTAAATGATCCCAAAGAAAAGAAGATCTATAAATTGCCTGGCAATTTAAAACAATCATCTTAAAGAAACTCAGTAACATGAAAGATAACTCAGACAACCAAAAAGAAAAAAAATACTTAAAATTTAAAGTTTAATGGAAACCATTAAAAAAAAGTAGAAATCCTAGAGGTGAAAAACACAATGACAAAATTGAAAAATTCAATACAGAGCTTCAACAACAGACTCGATCATATAGAAGAAAGAATTAGTAAACTTGAAGACAAATTATTTAAAACAAACCAATTAACAAAAACAAATAAAAAAGATAAAGAATAAAGAAAAGTGAAAAAAGCACAAGGGCCCTATGGAGACCAACAAGAAAATAAGTATGTGAATTATAGAAGTCTCAAAAGAAGACAGAAACAAAGGGGCAGAAAGTTTATTTAAAGAAACAAAGGCAGAAAACTTCCCAAAGTTGGGGTAGATAAGGACATCCAGATTCCATGTGGATGTGGATATACATTGATGCAAGGTTCGACATGAAAATCTGTAAATGTGATACACCATGTTAGCAGAATAAAGGATGACAATCACATGGTCATCTCAATAGATGCAGAAAAAGTATTTGACAAAATTCAACATCCTGTTATGGTAAAAACTCTCAACAAATTAGATACAGAAGAAATATACCTCCACATAATAAAGGACATATATAACAAGCCTACAGTTAACATTATACTCCGTAGTGAAAAGCTGAACGCATTTCCTCTAAGATCATGAACAAGGCCAGGGTGCCGCCCACACTCACCACTCCTATTCAGTGTGTTATTGGAAGCCCTTGCCAGAGCAATTAGGCAAGAAAAGAAATAAAAAGCATCCACGTAAGAAAGGAGGAAGTTAAACTGTCTCTTTTTGCCAATAACATGATCTCTTTTTTAAATTTTTGTTTTAGATTCAGGGATACATGTGCAGGTTTCTAAAACAGGTAAAGTTGTGTCACAAGGGTTTGTTGTACATACGGCCCCATCACGGCCGAGGTGGGAACGGGGGTGCTCCTGCTTTCAGGTGGCCTGTGTGTCCGTGTGCGCTCGCGCCCACAGAGATCAAAAGCGCACACAAAGCATTGGCCGTGGTCATTTCTGGGTGTCTGCGACACGGTTTGGATCTGTGTCTGCCCAAATCTCACGTTAACCTGTAATCCCCAAAGTTGGAGGTGCGGCCTGGTGGGAGGTGACCAGATCCTGGGGAGGGGCTTCACCCTTCGGTGTAGTTCTCACAGTCGTGGAATTCTCAGGAGATCTGGCTGTTTCAGTGTGTGGCAGCCCCCGCTTCCTCCCGCTCTGGCCACGTGAAATGCCGGCTTCCCCTTCGCCTTCCGCCGCAGTGGAAGCCGGGCACCCGCCGCCATGCTTCCTGGGCGGCCTGCAGAAGCTTGCGCCAATTAAACCCCTTTCTTTATACATTTTCCGGTCTGTGCTACGTGTTTGTAGCAGTGAGAGAATGGACTCATTCCGTGTGGATGATTGTCACTTAATGGGTTTTCTTTCGCTTTATAGATATTCTCTAACTTCACAGAATTAACTGCACCAACAAATAAGCACCCATTAGCAGCTTTTTCCTTCCTAGCAGAGGCAGTGGAAGCGGGGGGTGCCTACACCCGCCCAGCACACCGGAGCCCCCTGATCAGGGACAGCCGTTGGCGGCAGGGAGCAGCTCACACAGTGAGGCCCTCCTGGGGGCAGCCTGCAGCCAATGGCCACCGATGCTGGCATACAAAGGCCTGGCCCCTGCATCCGATGGGACACTCTATGAAAAGCCACCCAGCGGTCAGGTTGTCCCTCTGCCCAGTCTCCTTGCTGACCCCTTACAGGAGCATTTCCCAGGGCACTCCCAACAAACCCCTAGCACGGAGCCCATCTTTGATCAAAGACCAAGGAAGTCAGTAAAAAATCACTGCAGGGGCTGGGTGCAGTGGCTCACGCCTGTAATCCCAGCACTTTGGGAGACCAAGGAGGGCAGAGCACAAGGTCAGGAGTTTGAGACCAGCCTGGCCAATATGACACCCTGTCTCTACTAAAAATACAAAAATTAGCTGGGCATGGTGATGCACACCTGTAGTCCCAGCTATGGGAGGCTGAGGCAGAATAATTGCTTGAACCCAGGAGGCAGAGGTTGCTGTAAGCCAAGATCGCTCCACTGCACTCCAGCCTGGACGACAAAGTAAGACTCTGTCTCAAAAATATACATATATATATATATAAAATCACCGCAGGTGCGGCTGCGTGGATGCCACAGGCCAGCCGGGAGCACAGCCTCACCTGCTTGGCTCCGGCCCAGACACAGGCTCCCACCTCCCACACTCTGCACTATTCTGCGCTCCGCAGCAAGCCCCCATCGTCCTCCTCCTGGACGCTGTCCCCTCGCCCCTGGGGTGCTGTCCTCCCTGAGTGCCCCTCACTGCACACCTTCCTCCCGCCCTCTCCGTGAGTTTCCACGCCGGCCACCTTTGCCCGCCCTCTGCAGGCAGCACTGCTCCCTGTCAACTGCTCCAGGACCCCTCCCTCTCGGTCCCGGTGATTTCCACAAACACTGTCACCCCCAGAACACTCAGCACACAGCAGACACTCAGTCAGTGCACATGAAACAAACGACAACCCAGACCCCAGCAGGAGCCTGGCGCCTGTGGGCACCTGAGCAGGGGGTGGAGCTGGCTGCTGCGGGCCCCTGGCAAGGTCCCAGAACAGGCCCCGGAGGCCCAGGAGCCGCCCCCACTGCCGTCTCTGCAGCAGGCTCTGAGTAGGCTCGCCTGCCTTGGCCGTCAGGACTGCCCAGCCCAGGCCCTGTGGAGGCCAGGCAAGACCAAAGCCAGGGGCAGAGGCAGGCACGGGCCCCACGGAAGCTCTGGGACTTTGCCCAGCTAGGGGCAGAGCACGGCACACACAGTCAAAAACACCCCGTGGGGCCGATTTATTGGAAGACGCTGCTACAACGCACAGCCCTGAAGGTGCAGAAACGCCTGCATGAACTGGAGAGTCCCCGCGGCCCAGGCAGGTGAGAATGGCACAGTCCTGGGTCCTCCCCAGGCCTCGGGCGTGCAGACGCGCTTCAAGGAGATTCTTCTCTCCGCCTGGAAACTTCCTCCAGGTGCGCCCCTGGAGGAGGAAAACGCGTGGGACGGGGAGGAGTGGCTGCAGCTGGGCCTCCCCAGGTCTGGCTCCAGAACTCGTGCCGTCTGCACAGGGCGGCTGAGTGCCGGGCTCTGTCTAGCCTTTCCCAGACCAGGAGACCAGACACAGCAGGGCCTAAGGGCCGTCTACGCAGCAGGGCCTAAGGGCCGTCTACGCAGCAGGGCCTAAGGGCCGTCTGTGGTGACTCCTCAAAGAGGGGCCTGCCAGACCCAACAAATCCCATCCTGGAATCTACAAGCCAGGGAGCTGAACCCCTGCCCCGAGGGCGCCTTGCCTGTCATTAGAAGCCCCATTTTATGGAGAGGGAAGGAGGTCAGCACCATTCACTTCAGGGCACAGGCCCAAGGCAGGGGCATTCCCAACCTCATGCCCATCCTCACCAGGCAGGGCACCCAGCCAAGTCCCAGGAGAGCGGTCACCCCTGCACAACTTCACACACCAGCCTTCACAATGCCCACCACCCTCGCCACACCCGGCCCTGGTCACACCAAGGAGGGTGGGGGAAGGGCGGGAGAACAGGCTGTTTCTAGAAGCAGACACCTGTTGACATCCACACGAAGACGTCTGAGACAGCAGGCTGGGAGGAAATTTCCAGAAGGAACCCCAAGGTCAACCGCCCTGTGATCCAGAGGCACTGGTGTCCAGCGGTGCCCCAGACCCCGCTAGCACCCCGACCCTGCTAGCCCCCCCAGACCCCACTAGCCCCCGGGTGTCCAGCAGACACCCCCAGACCCCGCTAGCCCCAGGGGGTCAGCAGAGTCCCCAGACCCCTCTAGCCCCCGGGAGTCCAGCAGACCCCCCCAGACCCCACTAGCCCCCAGGGGTCAGCAGACCCCCCAGACCTCCTAGCCCCCGGGGGTCAGCAGAGCCCCTAGGAGTTCAGCAAAGCTCCCAGGTGTCAGCTGAGCCCCCAGAGGTCCATGTTCCAGCTCTGCCAGGATGGGGTGGTGTCCCCTGCCAGGGTGAGGACAAGCCTCTCGCTGCCACAGTAGGTGAGGAAGAGCCAGGCTGCCTCAGTGGCCCCCTGCCGCCCACCTCCCAACAGGCCCATCTGGAAATGCTGGGAAAGTGGCCTGAATCTGGAGAGATTTCGGGAAACGAGGGTGCCCTCGCCCGAGCCCCAGGCCCGCGCCTTGGCACTCAGCAGCAGCGGAAGCCTTGCCGCCAGCCTGAGGGCCGACCTACCCATGGCCACCAGGTCGCCACAGTCCTTCTTGTGGAACTCGGCCCAGGCCTTGGTCTTGCAGTATTTGCTGCAGGTCAGGATCCCGTAGCAGCGAGGGCAGGGCAGGAGGCGGACCCCGACGGAGCGGCCACACTGGTAGCAGAACTTGAAGAAGGGAATTCTGCAACAGAGCCTCAGGGCATCAGGCGGCCACCCGGCGGACCCCACCGAACAGCCGCTGCCCGGGAGCTGTGCCCGGCCCTGCGCTCTTGGGCCACTCCCCACCATCCCACACTGCCGCCTGCGCAGGGCAGCCTTCACACGTGGGCAGCAGACCCTAAGTCCTCATCCTGAGGATGTTCAGCACAGCGGTGTTTAGAATCGGGAGCCAACACGTGTGGGGCTCGGGAACCACGTAAGTCCCCGCTAGGAAGGCTGGTTACGTGAACGCACATCCGCTCCAGAGACCACCATGGTGCTGCCAACATGCTGATGGGGGGATTTCCTAGGCACGCAGGGAAATGTCTGTGGGACAGTGTCACGGGGAGAAGTGCCTCTTCGAGGGCAGGGCATGGAGCCTGCCTTTGGGGTGAGCCTCAAAGCCCCAGTCTCCTCTGCTTTCAGAGGAAAATAAGACCCCGCCCCGTCCTGCACCAGTCCCCTCTCCATCACCTCACTGGGTGGCTCAGGGTTTATGGGATGGGGACGCCCACACAAATAGGGCCTGGTCCCTGCCCTCTCATCCCACAGGGGCACGCAGCCATGTAAAGAGACCATTCTGGAAAAGCAGAGTGGGTGCAGTGTTGAGACTCCAAGGAGAGGCAGGGGCCAGGAGGGTGCAGGGGTGCCGCCCGGCTGTGCAGCCAGCAGGCCAGGGAAGCATCCACAGGACATCTTGCAAAAGCAGAGCCTGGGCTCAAACCCCATTCAGTGGCCATTTCTGGAATGGGAGGTGGCCACCCTCCTGCAGGACATGGAGCCCATCTGTGACCCACTAGGGGCAGCCCAGGGCAGCTCCGTGTGCCCTATGACCCTGCACGTCATCTTGGCTGAAGCCCATGGCCTGCGAGCAGGGCTGCCTGGAGGAGGCCATGCCACTTGGGGTTCCGATGGCATGGAGGCTGTCCCAGGATGAGGTTGTAGGGCCAGGCACAGCAGCCCTGTCCAAACCACAGGCTGCCATCCTGGAAAGAACGCAGCCCACAGACACACTTACTGCTTCCGCTCCTTCACGTCCAGGCCCTTGGGCAGGCTGGGGCTCTTCTTCTTCATCCTGTGGCTGGGGATCAGCTCCGCTGCACGAAAGAAGGACCTGCATTAGTGCCCAGGTGGCAGGGCGGGGGCCACCACTGCAGATGCCACCTCCTTGGGCCCTCCCTGTGCTGCCTGCCTGCTTACCGGGGAGGCAGATGGGGGACCCAAGCCTTCAATGGCTCCACGGCAGGTGCGAGGACCTGGAGGCGCCAGGGGCGGTCCACGGGCTCCAGGGAGAGGCTTCCCTCTGCCGTCAACCTTGCTGTTCCGCCTGTGTTGTGTCTTCAAAGTTTCTCAGATTTCCCTTTTGGATTCTTGTTAAGCTTGTTATTTAGACATGTGTTTATTTATTTATTTATTTATTTATTTATTTATTTATTTTAGACAAGAGTCTCACTCTGTCACCAGGCACCAGGCTGGAGTGCAGTGGCACGATCTTGGCTCCTCTGCCTCCTGGGTTCAAGCAGTTCTCCTGCCTCAGCCTCCCGAGTACCTGGGACTATAGGTATGCACCACCACGCCCAGCTAATTTTTGCATTTTTAGCAGAGACGGGGTTTCACCATGTTGGCCAGGATGGACTCGATCTCTTGACCTCATGATCTGCCCAACTCAGCCTCCCAAAGTGCTGGGATTACAGGGGTGAGCCACTGTGCCTGGGCAAACATATGTTATTTTATGTGAGTTTCCCAAATGTCATTCTGCCGGTCATTTCTAATTAAATTCCACTGTGGTCTGAAATGTGAAATGTATTATTTCTATTCTCTTAAATGTATTAAGGGTTTATAATTTGCATATGGTATATCCTGGAGAATGTCTCCAGTATACTTGAGAGATTCTGCTGCTGTCAGGTAGAGTGTTCTAGAGATCTGACAAGTCTAATAGACTTGTTCAACTTCCTGTAGGTGCTGCCTAGCTTTCTGGTCAGTTGTTGAATGTGAAGAATTGACATTTCCAACTGTTACTGTTGCGTTATCTGTTTCTCCATTTCTGTTTCTGCTTCATGTATTTGGTGTCTGTCTTTTGGTGCATATACGTTTATAATTGCCATTATCTTCCTAACTGATGATGCTTTTATCATAAGATGTCCCTCTTTATCACCAGTAGCATTTGTAAGGTTATTTTTTTGTGATATTAGCATAGCAATTCCAGCCTTCTTGTGATTGCTGTTCCCATGATATTTTTTCATCCTTTGATTTTGTATCATTTGCTTTTTTTCTTTTTGGGATGGAGTCTCGCTCTGTCACCCAGGCTAGAGTTCAGTGGTGCATCTCGGCTCACTGCAGCCTCCACCTCCCAGGTTAAAGCAATTCTCCTGCCTCACCCTCCTAAGTAGCTGGGATTACAGGCATGTGCCACCGTGTTGGCTAATTTTTGTATTTTTAGTAGAGACAGGGTTTCACCGTGTTGGCCAGGCTGGTCTTGAACTCCTGACCTCAAGTGATCCATCCACCTCAGCCTCCCAAAATGCTGGGATTACAGGCATGAGCCACCGTGCCTGGCCTGTATCACTGAATTTAAATTGTGTCTCCTGTAAACAGCACATAGGTGGATCTTGTGTTTTGATCCAGTGTAACAATCTGTCTGTTGCTTAATCTATTCACATTTAGTTATTAATGACATACTGTAGTTGGATTTACATTTGATATTTTGCATTTTGTTTTCTAAACATCTCAGAATTTTTCTATTGCTCTATTCTTCCTTTACTCTTCTGCATCAACTGGTCAAGTGGATTCTTTTTAAGGTAATGTCTTAATTTATCCAATAACTTTAAACTATATTTTTGAGCTCTTTTCTTACTGGTTGCATCAGGCTTTACAATATGAATATTCTTTTTTTCTTTTCTTTTTGAGGCAGGTTCTCACTCTGTCACTCAGGCTGGAGTGCAGTGGCATGATCATGGCTCACTGCAGCCTCAACCTCCCAGGCTCAGGTGAGCCTTCCATCTCAGCCCCCTGAGTAGCTACGACTACAGACACACAGCACCATGCCGAGTTCATTATTAAAAAACATTTTGTAGAGATAGGGTCTTGCCATGTTGCCTGGGATTGTCTCAAACTCCTGGGCTCAAAAGATCCTTCTACCTCAGCCTCCCAAAGTGCTCAGATTATAGATGTAAACCACCATGCCTGGCCTACCGTATGAATCTTGACTGGTCATAATCAGCTTCAGACCTACACTAACACCAGTGAGATATTTAAAAGTTATTCCTGTATAGCTCTATTTCCTTTTCTGCCTTTGTATGATATTGTCATACAAATTACACCTATAAAGGTTATAAATCCAACATTATAAGAGTATTATTACTTTATATAATTTTATGTATTCTAAAGAATCTGAGAGAAGAAAGGAGAAAACGTATATATTCACAGGTTTAGTTGTATTAAAATTATTTACCATTTCTGGATCTCTATTTCATCTTCTCAGTTTGAGTTAGCATTTGGAGTCATTTCTTACCACAGCAGAACTGTCCTTCTGCCCATTTCCTTTGTACTGTTATTGCCAAATATATTTCTGTATGTTACAGGCATACACATACATGTAACCACACACATACACACACAACATATATATATATATATATATATATATATACAATGCATATATATATATACAAATTGCTTACATATAAATTATTTTAAATTGCTTTTAAAGTCAATTAACAAGAAATATGCATTTATATTCTTCTTTACAATTGCCTTTGCCAATGCTCTTTGTTTATGTGTATTTAATTTCCACCTTAAATCACTTGCTTTCAGAATACCTTTGGAATTTCTTGTAAGGGAAGGCTGTAACAACCAATTCTCACAGGTTTTATCTGGGAATATGTCAATTTCACCTTCAGGTTTGCAAGTTAACTTGCTGGGTATAAGATTCTTGGTTAACAGTTTATCTAACTTTGAGTACTTTGGTTTTTGTTTGTTGATTTTTAATTTTCTTTAAATAGAGACTGGATCCCACCATGTTGCCTGGGCTGGTCTCAATCACCTGGGCTCAAGCAATTCTCTTGCCTCAGTCTCCAAAAGTGCTAGTGTTACAGGGATGAAAGCCACTGTGTCCAGCCATTTCTGAGCACTTTGAATATGACATCCCCCTGTCTTGAGTCTCCTCTAGCAACCCTCTATTGCATCTTTTAATTATTTATGCAAATCTGTGGAGTATATGAAAAGTTTTGTTACATGTATATACTGTGCAGTAATCAAACTAGGGTATTCAGGGTGCCCATCTCCTGAATAAAATACATTTTTGTTAAGTATAGTAATTCTACTCTGCTCTAAAACACTACATCTATTTCTTCTATCTTACTGTACCTTTGTGCCCTTTAAACCTCTTCTCTTCATCCTACTAACTTCCTCTACTCACCCTTCCCAGTCTCTGTTATCTATTTTTCTATTCTCTACCTCCATGTGTTCAAAATTTTTAGCTCCCATAAGTGAGAACATGCAATATTTGTCTTTTTGTGCCTGGCTTATTTCACATAAGATACTAACCTCTGGCTCCACTTGTGTTGCTACAAATGACATAATTTAATTCTTTCCTGTGTTTGAATAATATTCCATCATATCAGCAAATGAATCAATAAAGAAGTATTATCTATGCCACATTTTCTTTATTGATTCATTTGTTGATGAACATTTGGGTCAATTCCATATCTTAGCTATTGTGAATCATGCTGTAATAAACAGGCAAGTGCAGGTACCCCTTTGATATATTGATTTTTCTCCTTTTGTGTAGATAGTAGTGTGATTGCTGGATTGAATGATAATTCTATATACATTTTTTATACATTTTTTTTTTTGAGATGGTGTTTCGCTCTTGTTACCCAGGCTGGAGTGCAATGGCGCCATCTCGGCTCACCGCAACCTCCATCTCCTGGGTTCAGGCAATTCTCCTGCCTCAGCCTCCTGAGTAGCTGGGATTACAGGCACGCGCCACCATGCCCAGCTAATTTTTTGTATTTTTAGTAGAGACGGGGTTTCACCATGTTGACCAGGATGGTCTCGATCTCTTGACCTCGTGATCAACCCGCCTTGGCCTCCCAAAGTTCTGGAATTACAGGCGTGAGCCACTGCACCTGGCAATTCTATATACATTTTTAGAAATCTTCATATTGTTTTCCATAGTACCTGTACTGATTTATATTCCACCAACAGCATGTAAAAGGTCCCTTTCTTTGGTATTCTTGCCACCATCTGTTTTTTGTTGTTGTTGTTGTTGTTGTTTTGTCTTTTTATAATAGCCATTCTGACTGATTTGCATTTCTCTGATGATTAGTGATGTTGAGCTATTCTTCTTTTATTTAGGCATAAGACAAACAGATCAGCATTTTTTTCATACAGCCATAGGCTGTTTGTATGTCTTCTTTTGAGAAATGTCAATTGATGTCCTTTACCCAAGTTTAATAGGATTATTTTTTCCTGTGGAATTGTATGAGTTCCCTGTATATTCTGAATATTAGTCACCTGTCAGGTAAATTCACCAGGTTGTCTCTTCACTATGTTGATTATTTCTTTCATTGTGCAGAAGTTCCTTAGTTTTATTAAGTCCCACTTGTCTATTTTTGGTTTTGTCGCCTATGTCTTTGAGGTCTTAGTCATAACTTCTTTGCCTAGATCAATATCCAGGAGAATTTACCCTAAATTTTCTTTGAGTATTTTTATAGTTTCAGGTCTTATGTTGAAGTCGTTAATCCATGTAGAGTCTATTTTTATATATGGTGAGAGATAAGGGTCCACTTTCATTCTTCTGCATGTAGCTATCCAATTTTCCCAGTGCCATTTATTGAAGAAAGTGTCCTTTCCCCAATGTCTGTTCTGTCAGCTTTGACAAAGATCAGTTGGCTGTAAATATATGGCTTTATTTATGGGTTCTTTATTCTGTTCCGCTGGTGTATGTGTCTATTTGTATACCAATACATGCTGTTTGGGTTACTATAGTTTTGTAGCGTATTTTGAATCCAGGTAATGTGATACCTCCAGCTTTGTTCTTTTTGTTCAGGACTGCTTTGGCTATTTGGGATCTTTTTTGGTTCTATATAAATTTCGGAATTGTTTTTTCTGTTTTTGTGAAGAATGGCATTGGTATTTTGATAGGGATTGCATTGACTCTGTAGATTGCTTTTGGTGGTATCGTCATTTTCACAATATTAACTCCTCCAATCCATGAACATGGAATGTCTTCTCATTTTCCAGTGTGTTCCCTTCAATTTCTTTCCTCATTGTTTTATAGTTTTCCTTATGGAGATCTTTCGCCTCCCTGCTTAAGTTTATTTCTAAGTATTTTTTGTAGCTATTGTAAATGTGACTGCCTTCTTGAATTCTGTCTTGGCGAGGTCATTATTGGTGTATATAAACGTTACTGATTTTTTTTGTACTTTAGTTTCGTATCCTGCAATTTTACTGAATTCATTTATCAAATCTAAGAGTGTTTTGGTGGAGTCTAGGCTTTTCTAGATATACAACAATATCATCAGCAAAGAGGGACAATTTGACTTACTCTTTTCCAATGTGGACGCCTTTTATTTCTTTCCCTTGCCTGATTGCTCTGGCTAGGACTTCCGGTAGTAGGTTGAATGAGAGTGGTGAAAGTGGGCAATCTTGTCTTATTGCAGTTCTTAGAGGAAAGGCTTTCAATTTTTCCCTGTGATGATGATGTTGGCTGTGGACTTGTCATATATGGCCTTTGTTATTTTGAAGTATATTCCTTCTGTGCGTAGTTTCTTAAGAGTTTTAAATCAGCTGGGCATGGTGGCTCACATCTGTAATCCCAAGACTTTAGGAGGCTGAGGCAGGTGGATCACCTGAGGTCAGGAGTTTGAGATCAGCCTGGCCAACATGGTGAAACCCTGTTTCTATTAAAAACACAAAAAAATTAGCTGGGCATGGTGGCAGGCACCTGTAATCCCAGCTACTCAGGAGGCTGAGGCAGGGAGAATTGCTTGAATCTGGGAGGCAGAGGTTTCAGTGAGCTGAGATCGTGCCACTGCACTCCAGCCTGGGCAACAGAGTAATACTCCATCTCAGAAAAAAGAAAAAAAATTTTTTTTATCATGAAGACTTGTTAAATTGCATCCAGTGCTTTTTCTGCATCTATTGAGATGACTGTATGGTTTTTGTCCTTCATTGTTGATGTGATGTATCACATTTATTAATTTGCATATGTTGAGCTATCCTTGCATGCCAGGTATAAATCTCACCTAATCTTTTGAAAGTGCTGCTAGATGTGGTTTGCTAGTATTATGTTGAGAATTTCTGCATCTGGATTCATCAAGAATATTGACCTGCCTGTAGATTTTCCACATGTGTCCTTGTCTGTTTTTGATATCAACATGACACTGGCCTCCTAGAATGAGTTAGGGAGAATTCCCTCCTCCTCAAATTTTTGGAATGGTTTCAGGAGGATTGGTATTAGTTCTTCTTTATACATTTGGCAGAATTCAGCTGTGAATCCATCTGGTCCTGAGCTTTTCCTTGCTGAGAAACTTTTTATTACTGATTCAGTCTTGCTGCTCATTATTTGTCTGTTCAAGTTTTCTAGCTATTCTTCACTCAGTCTTGGAAGAGTGTATGTTTCCAGGAATTTATCGATTTCCTCTGGTTTCTCCAGTTTATCATATAGTTTGTGATGATCTTTTGTATTTCTATGATATCAGTTGTAATATCTCCTTTTTTCAATTCTGATTTTATTCATTTTCAGAGATTCATTTCTTCAAATAAGATATCAAAGAAGAAATTTATTCTCTCTTCTTAGTTAGTCTAGCTATCAGTTTACTAATCTTGTTTTCAATTTTTTTTTTTTTTTTTTTTTTTTTGAGATAGTGTCTTGCTCTGTCACCCAGGCTGGAGTGCAATGGCAAAATCTCAGCTAACTGCAACCTCTGTCTTCTGGGTTCAAGCGATTCTCCTGCCTCAGCCTCGTGAGTAGCTGGGACTACAGGTGCATGCTACCACACTTGGCTAATTTTTTTTTTTTTTTTTTGTATTTTTAGTAGAGACGGGGTTTCACCATATTGGCCAGGCTGGTCTCGAACTTCTAACCTCGTGATTCACCTGCCTCAGCCTCCCAAAGTGCTGGGATTACAGGCATGAGCCACCTCACCTGGCCTCAACTTTTAAAAGAATCAACTTTTTATTTCATTGATTCTCTGTACTTTTTTTCTCTATTTCATTTAGTTCTGCTCTAATCTTTATTATTTCTTTTCTTCTTCTAACTTTGGATTTGATTTGTTCTTGCTTTTCTAGTTCCTCGAGATGCATGGTTAGATTGTTGGTAATCTTCCTACTTTTTTGCTGTAGGCATTTATTGCTGTGAGCTCCCCCTTGGCCCTGTTTTTTGCTGTATCCCACAGGATCCGGTATACTGTGCTTCTGTCTTTGTTTCAACGTATTTTTTATTTCCATCTTAATTTCTTCATTGACTCAATATTCATTCAGAAACGTGTAATCTCCATGTTTGCAAATTTGTATATACATACTTGTACAGTATAAATTACGTATTTGTGTAGTTTACAGAGTTCTTCTTGGTACTGACTTCTGGTTTTACTCTATTGGGGTCTGGGAAGACACCTAACATGATTTTGATTTTTTAAATTTGTTGAGACTCATTTGTGGTCTAACATATGGTCTATCCTGGAGGATGTTTCATGTGCTGATGAGAAGAATGTATATTCTGCATTTGTTAGGCAAAGTTGTTCTGTAAATGTCTGTGAGGTCCATTTGGTCTGGGTACTGAGGTTGAAGGGTCACCATGGACCATTTTTAATCCATTTAGCTATTCTAAATCTTTTAAGAGGAATCCCTGGTGAGTATTAGTTGGGACAAGTGAACTTTTGACTAACAAAGTCGGTCACCAGAGGTTAAGAGGAACTCAACTAAACCAAAGATTAAGACTCAGATTCTTAGGGTGATCTGAGGCTCTCCCCTGGACCTGGGCCACTGAAGAAACAAAGACGCTGGAAGTGCCGGGCCTGGCTAGTGGCCCTGAGAAGCCAGGGGTCAGCAGAGAGGTCACAGGTCATGGCTCTGCCACCCAGCAGCTGCTCTGATCAGAGGACCTCATGGCAATCTCTTGATGGTCCAGACCACAGACCCCCAACCCTGAGACTGACAGCTCCAGGGCAGTGCCCACCAGCCTGCACATTTCTCCCTGTTAACCCTCACTCCGGGACAGTGCCCACCAGCCTGCACATTTCTCCCTGTTAACCCTGACTCTGGGACAGTGCCCACCAGCCTGCACATTTCTCCCTGTTAACCCTGACTCTGGGACAGTGCCCACCAGCCTGCACATTTCTCCCTGTTAACCCTCACTCCGGGACAGTGCCCACCAGCCTGCACATTTCTCCCTGTTAACCCTCACTCCGGGGCAGTGCCCACCAGCCTGCACATTTTTCCCTGTTAACCCTGACTGTGGGACAGTGCCCACCAGCCTGCACTTTTCTCCCCGCTAACCCTCAAGGCCCAGTCCCTGGTGGAATCCCCCGGTCGGCATTATTGGGACAAGTGACCTTTTGACTAACAAAGGCGGTCATCAGAGGTTAAAAGGAACTCAACTAAACCAGGGATTAAAGCGCACAGCTCATGGCTCACTTCTCTGTTGAGTTCCAGCATTCTCTCTTGGAAAACGTACTTGGAGTGTGACTGTCTCTACGCTGTCTGCTCCTGCTAACTGGAGGAAGTGGCATGGGATGTTCTCATCAGCCATTCTGACCACCCCCCAACCAATTTCTTCTGAAGAGATGCCGGCTAACTGCGAATCTTACTGGGATCCCTGTAAGTTTGGAGTTATTTTTCTTTTGCTTTCAATGTCTCCTCCTTGTCTTTGACTTTCAGTATTTTAACTCTAATGTGTCTGTTTTACAAATCTCCGTTTTATCTTACCTGAAACTTCATTACACTTCCTAGATATCTAAATTACTTTAAAATACATTTAGAAAGTTTTTCTATACATGCTGAAGACTCAGTGTGGGGGCGGGATCAGCAGCTTCTGTGTGTGCACACACGTTAGCACGTGACAGGCTCTTATGTGAGGAGAGGCGGGGTGTGGGTGTCAGTGTCTGTGGACAACTGAGTGGGTCTGTGTGTGCCAGGTGGACATCAGTAGGTAAACGTGGGGAGGGGAGCAGGAGGGAGTATGTGGGGGTGGGGGTAAGTAGGTGGGTGGGAGTGGGTACATGGGAGGTATGTGGGGATGGGGGTGAGTAGGCAGTTGGGGTGGAAAGATGAGGAGGTGAGTAGGTGGGTGGGGTGGGCATGTGGGGATGGGGGTATGTGGGTGCAGTTGGGTACGTGGCTGTGGGTACATGGGGGAGTAGACGTCAGTAGGCGGATGGTGCCTATGTGGGGTGGCTGCATGTGGGGAGCTGGGGATACGTGGGATGTGTGGGTGGCACCTGTAGGCATGTGCCTGTGCAGAGGAGCTCCACCCCCAGGCCTCGGCCGCTCGTTCCCTGTGCTGGACTGGCTGGCACTTCTGACAGGGCTCCCGCAGTGGTGCCTAGTCCTCTCCTGGGCCCTGGGCCTAGGCCACCAACTCCCCTTCCCAGGGACATCTCCCCACTCCAGGCACCTCTTCTCATCTCTCCTGCCCAAGCTGCTTGGGGGTCGGGGCCTGACCCTAGGAAGGCCCCTGCAGAGCCCGAGGGGTCCAGATCTCCCAGGATCGCAGCCCCAGGCACAAGGCCATAACCCCGCCCTGCAGCACAGAGCAGAGCAGGGCCCACTGCCCACCTCTCTTGCACAGGTACAGCCACGTGGGGTCCCACTGGCTCTCCTTGGCAAAGACCGCCTGCCTCAGCTGCAAGCCCATGTACTCCAGGAGCCGCTTCCGAGCCACGAACGCCTCACGCTCCGCCGGCATCAGTGTGTGGAAGGGGCTGTGGGCAATCTTCCGGTCCTGCAGCATGGCACCAGGGTCACCATAGGGTCCCGGGCCCACCCTGCTGCGGGGGCGACTCTGGGTGATCGAGGGCCCCTCTTGGCCATCGTGATGTGTAACTGAGGACCAACCCAGACAGACACACACAGCTGGGAGCACACACAGCTGCACCCGGCATGAGCTCAGCACATCGGGGGCTTCGCCTCTGCTGCCAAGGGGCTGCTCTCGGGAGGCTCTAGGAAATTGAAGCCCAGCTTTGCCCCAGAGAAGTTAAAGCCCCAGCCAGGGGCCACGCCCGTGACCCACACTCCCCCTTCTTCATCGTGGGAGGCTCACCACCTACCTGGAAGAATTTGAAGTAGCCATAGTCCACAGCTGTACCCACTGCCACCTTCTCCCCCTGCCTGAGCGTCACAGGCTTCAGGATGTCAGCCCCATGACTGAGGAGGCGGTCAATCTGTGGAGAACAGAACCAGGTCAAACAGCAAGGACATCCCGGCCACTGGGAGCAGCGGAAGCCCCACCCGAGAAGGGCCATGGTCACCTGCATTCCCCCCGAGGCCAACCCTGCAGGTGTACAGCAGTCCCTACGGGAAAAAAAACAGGGAGGGTGGTCGGACATGCGGCTGACCTCACAGACAAGGAGCTGGGGCTGAGTCTCACCCTAATGATGTCGCCGTGAAGTCAAGGCTAGGCCATGCCTCGGGGAGCCCTCGCTGGCACCCACTCCTGCTCCCCTCAGCGTGAGTGACACAAACGCAGACACCCGGCAGCTCCTGCTCTTCGTCAGATCCCAACACACCATGAGGGTACTCAACAGGACAGCGGGTGCATGGGTGTGCCTGTATGTGGCTGTGTGGGGGGCAGGGGACCAGCATGTATGCATGCGTGGGTGTGTGCCTGTGTGTTCATGGGTGGGTAGGCGCGAGTGTGCCTGCATGCATGTAGGTGCGTGTGGGGATGTGTGTGTGTGCATGTGTAGGGCCAGTGGGTGAGTGTGGATATGTGCATGCATGTTCACGGGTGGGTGTTGTGAATGTGCCTGCATGCATGTAGGTATGCAGTGTGGGCGTGTGTGCATGCATGCATGAGTGTGTGTGCGTGTGAGGGCCAGCGTGTGTGCATGCATGGGTAAACACACACGTGTGCATGCGGTGCCTGACTTGCGGCAAACACACCACAACCATGGTATCTGGCTCAGTAGGTACAACAATCCCATCCAATGCCAACGGCATCTAAAAGAGGCTGCCTCTCCGGACAGGGGAGGAGGCAAGTTCTTTAGGGAGGCCTGGCGGGCTCAGGGCAGCCCATGTGCATGCGTGGAAGCCAGGCTGTGGTCTGCGGGAGCCTCACTGCCAAGTGCACGGGTGCCTGGCTAGCCAAGTGCAAGCAAGGCCATAATTCAGGGATACATGACTCCCCCCTCGAGGTCCCCACACCCTATGCCACGTGTAACACACATTCTATACAAGCAGACCCTGCATTCTCAGCCACAGATGAGCACAATGCCCTGGGCATGGCAGCAGGCAGTGTGGGGCAGGGAAGTGGCCAATGCCACCAGCACCAGTGCCAGCCTGGCCTGAGCTGCTGATGCCCTGGCGCGTGGGGGTACGGGTGGGGTTTATGCACAGATTCCTCAAGGCCAAGGTGAGGCTGGGCAAGACGAGGGGGAAGCCATTTTCCACTGCCCCCAAGGAGGGAGCCGCCCAGATCCACCCATGGGATCCCCCTGTCTTCCTGACTCTCCTTCCTGCTGAAGCCATGATAATTTGCCAAAAGTCCCACGAATCGGTTCCATACAGACCTCCCTCCGAGGCCCCACCACCTCATCAAACCTTTTTCAGGAGAAGGTGGGCAGGTGGTGGGTGAGCGACGGCTGGGTACAGGCCACCACAAGTGGGTGGACAATGGACTGACCCTTCCCTGCCCAACACTGCCGGGGGACTCGCCAGCCCACCCCCCCCCACCCCCCGCCCCAAGCAGGCCTCACTCAGTCCCGGCACCAGGACAGCATCTCTGGACAGCTCTGCCTGGGCAGTGATGCAGCCGCCCTGCCCCACCCCGCCTGAGGCCTGCAGGACTGGCTACTCGGAATGCCCCTGCCATTGACCTCTGGGCCTCACCCTGCCGGACACCTTGTCCTCTCTAGCCTAACATCCCAAGAGAAGCCTCTTCACAAACATCATTCCTGGGAAGCCCTGCATCCCCACAGCCCCCGAGTCTCGACATACCCTTCCACACTGATCTCCGACCGCTGGGAGCCACTGGGGACATCCAGCCCCAGCAGGGTGTGCAGTGTGTGCTCCGGCCTGGGGCTTTCTCGCCCCAGGTCCCGTGTCCTCACCCCTTCCTCCCCTGCCACAGCCCTTCCCCATCTGCTGACCTGCTGGTCGCTCACCAGGACAACTTCCCACCTGGCCCTGGCTGCCCGTGGTGACGACCTGATCCATGGTGAGAACAGAGAAACACTTTCCTAAACCATTCACTCACCAACACGCCCCTGGAGAACCTCACCTCCCAAGCCACCCATCTGAACTGTGACTTGTGTCCCCTAATAAGGTAAGTTGAAGTCCCGGATGATCATGGTGGCTCACGCCTGTAATCCCAGCACTTTGGGAGGCCAAGGCGGGTGGATCACCTGAGGTCAGGAGTTCAAGACCAGCCTGGCCAACGTGGTGAAACCCCATCCCTACTAAAAGTACAAAAATTAGCTGGGCATGGTGGTGGGTGCCTGTAGTCCCAGCGTCTGAGGCTGAGTCAGGAGAATCACTTGAAGCTGGGAGCAGAGGTTGCAGTGAGCCAAAATTGCACCACTGCACTCCAGCCTGGGCAACAAGAGCAAGACTCCATCTCAGAAATAGAAAAAGATCTGTGAACACGGCTTTATTTGGACATAGGGTCGCTGCAGATGATGAAAGTAAGATGAGGTCCTTAGAGCGGCGCCCGATCCAATGTGGCAATTGTCCTTTTAAGAGGGGACATTTGGCTGCAGAGACAGACATGCACGCGGGGAGAACGCCATGGGATGAGGAAGGCAGAGTGGCCGGCAGGCCCCCAGAAGCTGGGGCGAGGTCTGCACCAGGGTCAGAGCCCTGCAGCCCCTCCATCGAGGCCTTCCACCCTCCAGGACCACGGCCAGTTCACTTCCGCTGCCCCAGCCACGGGAGCATTCAGAGGAAGAACCCCGGAAACGAGACTCTGCCGCAGCCTGAGCAGCAAGACGTGGTGGGAGACCGAGGCATCACCAGGACCCGGGCAGCCCCAGCCTCTCGCGCGAGGTCCTGCAGCACCATCGCTTACGTGTTCATGGGATTATTTTGAGAGCAGCGGAACCAAAAGCAGACAAGAACAAGAGGGAAAAGAGTGAAAACTGCAGCCCGACCACACTTGGGAACACAGGCGTCGAAGCCCCAGAAGACAGCGGGATGCCTCCGCCAGCAGGACGCCAAACCTCGGCACACGCAGGCAGCACACCCCTGGGGTTTCGGGGGCCTGGAGGGCTCCGTGGACTCACATCCCACGAATGCGCAAGGCAGAAAAGCACCAGAGTCTCCAGGAGGCCACGGGAAAGGGCCTGTGAAAGTTCGTAGCTCAAACTACAAAACTCTGAGAAGAAAACGGAGGAGGAAGCTTCGTGATACTGAGTTTGGGAACGATTTCTTGGCCATGACACCAAAGGCACAGGCAATAAAAGAAAACATAGGCAAGCTGGACTTCATGAGCATTTTTGAGTATCAAAATATTTGTAAATTACATATCCAATAAGGTATTAACATCTAGAATATATAGAAATGTCCTAAAACTCAACAATAATTAAAAAAATTCAAAAATTGCCAAAGGACACGAATAGACATTTCTCCAAATAAGATATATAAACGGGCGATAAGCAGGTGAAAAGAGGCTCAGCGTTGCTCATCAGTAGAAAAACACAAACCAGATCCACACTGAGAAGGTCACAAGCGCGGCTCATGCCTGAACCCCAGCACTTCGGGAGGCCGAGGCCGGCGAATCGCCTGAGGTCAGGAGTTCAGGGCTAGTCTGAACAACGTGTGAAACCCCATCTCTACTAAAAATACAAGAATTAGCCGGGCATGGTGGTGCATGCCTGTAATCCCGGCCGCTCAGGAGGCTGAGGCAGGAGAAGCGCTTGAACCTGGGTGTTGGAGGTTGCCGTGAGCCGAGATCACACCCCGGCACTCCAGCCTGCGTGACAGCAGTGACACTGTATCTCAGAAAAAAATTGGAAAGCAAGAGACGAATCCGGATCAGAAGGAGAACTCTTAATCTAAAAGAAATTCAGGCCATTAAACAGACTACAAAACCCCGACGAAGTCACCGTAGGAAGGTGTGAGAGGACACACGCAGAGATGCCGTAGAGATAAGAGGCAAGTCGGATTCTGCCGTATCAGTGTTTTCGTAACTGGCTGACGGCACACACGGATCATAAAGCCGTGTTCACCACGGTGGTAATTTGCTGTGCTTTGTCTGTTTATGACGTTGGCCGTGTTTATAAAGGCCAGACACTTCCTCTTGTGACGCTGATGACATGCGTAATGGAGCCGGAACACCTAAGTGCGTGATGTTCACACATGGGAGGGAGGGCCTCTCCTTTGGTCTCTTGGGGAGTGAGCCTCATTAGGTCTATGGCTGACGGTGCTTCTCAGCTGGGCCTGAGGCTGGAGAAGTAGCCTGCGAGGGCACCCCCATGCCTTGCCTGGTGCCCAGTGCAGTCTGAGCACCCAGCTTCCGAAGCGTGCCGGGCAGACAGCCGCCAGCGGCCGAAGGTGCTCACAGCCGGAACCAGAGGCGTCAGCGCCTCCATTGCGGCGCATCCAGGGGCTCTGTTGGGTCCCCCGCCCGCGGGGCACAGCACGTTTCCTTCCATAAACTAGGGGTTCCTAACTACCCACAGAGGGTGGTTTTCCTATCACAGAGCCCCACGGCCCTGTGGTTTGTTAAACAGCTCAGTGACAGGACAGCAAGTCCAAATGCCCAGAGGCCAATTCCAGGACTGCGCTTGGGGGGACATGTGGTGGTTTAAGGAGTGGGGGCAGCCTTCGCCAGGGCAGGAGCAGTGACGAACCGAAGCCAACACACAGTCAGGTCGGTTGGTCAAGTGGAAGGAGAGGTGGGCTTCCCTAGGGAAACGCTGGGGTGCAGGGGACAGGCGGGAGGGGCTCGGAGGGGCGTGCTGGGACTGGGAGCGCAGACTGGCTGGTCGGGACTTCGGGGTGTGGCGTAAGGTTCCCCAGCGGGGCAGGGATGGCTGTGGGCCTCGGATTCGCAGTGGGTCAGCTGAAGGGGAGGGCAGGGGAGACGGAGACGGAAACAGAGAGGGACAGACTCGGGGCGGTGGGGCAGGTCTTCGGAGGTGGTGAGTCCAGGCGAGGGCACGGGGTGTCCTTGTACTGCTTTTTTGTGAGTCTGAGAAGAACTAAAATTAGTAAATAAACCAACAGTAAATAAATAACTAAATAAAAGCCCAGTCCACTGATTTCAAGTCTGGGGTGAGAATATAGGCAGTGTGGGGGTTCCGCTGGATGCATCAGAAAGCCAGGCCGGTGTCAGGGCCAGGGGCACGGCTCCCACAGCCAGAGATGAGACATTGAAGGGAGGTTTAAAAACGGGAGACCTTCCCTTCCCGCATATCTAGTGGAAGCAGACAGCATTGCTGGGGGTAGGCGGCATTATCAGGTTCCCTAACCCCGGCCAAGGTGCTGGGGAGCCCCCAATCCCTGATAAGGTGCTGAGGAGCCCCCAACCCCGGCTGAGGTGCTGGGGAGGCCCCAACCCTGGACGAGGTGCTATTCCGTAAGCTCCAGACACGTCCTCCACTCGGCGTCCACGCTAACAGCGCTGCCCTCTGAGCTGCCGCTCCTGTCTCAACTCTGTTCTCTCCCGTCTCAATGTCCTTTCTCTGTTCACGCAGACTTAGACGAACAAGAGACTCGTCGTCAATCCTGGGCCCGGTGAAGCCCCAAAAGCACATCAAGAAGCCCCTCCCACCCCGAAGTCCTGAGATGGTGCGGACTGTCTCCATGCCCTGTGGCACTCTGTCCTCTGCCACCTGCGGAAAGGTGACCCCTGCGTCCTCACTCGGTCTGTCCCAGACAGAACAGGGTCTTAGGAAGAAGGACAGGAGCCTTCAAATGGGATGTGGAAACCGTGTCGCCAGAGAACAGTCTCCCTTCTTTTAAGCAAAGTGGCCCTTTTGTGATGTCAAACAGCCTTTCACGCCTGAGCCTCGCCGTGGCTTCCCCGCTTTCCCTCAGACAAGCGAGAACCGAAGTGTGTGCCAAGATGGATGGAGGAAAGCAAGGTCGTGGGTGGTGCCCACGGTGGGCACAGGAAGGGCTAGCACGGGCAGAGGGCAGCAGGCAGCAGGGCTCAGGGGGAGGCCCTGCTTGAGCCGAAGCTGCTGAGAGTTCTTGGAGCCACATGGGAGGGACCCTCGATGGACGCGCCCAGGGCTCAGCACAGAAGGTGCCTCCAGAGCGGGCAGGACTTCCCAAGCGTGAGTTTCCACCCAAGAAGCCACTCCCTGTAGCCAGGGGACAACGCCCCAAACCCTGCCCAGCAGCTGCGTGGACCCTTGAGAAGGCCAGGACGGGGCAGCCGGACCAAGGTGAGGCCTACATCTATCTCCAGTCCTGTCTTCACTGAGACGAACCTAAGGGAACCGCTGTCTGGCCTGCTGAGTGGATCTGATACTTAGTTTTTAAGCCCAGTAAAATATTAAAAGCAGACAATAGCCGGGCGCGGTGGCTCACGCCTGTAATCCCAGCACTTTGGGAGGCCGAGGCGGGTGGATCACGAGGTCAACAGATCGAGACCATCCTGGTCAACATGGTGAAACCCCGTCTCTACTAAAAATACAAAAAATTAGCTGGGCATGGTGGCGCGTGCCTGTAATCCCAGCTACTCAGGAGGCTGAGGCAGGAGAATTGCCTGAACCCAGGAGGCGGAGGTTGCGGTGAGCCGAGATGGCGCCATTGCACTCCAGCCTGGGTAACAAGAGCGAAACTCCGTCTCAAAAAAAACAAAAACAAAAAAACAAAACAAAAAGCAGATAATATTTTGTCCTTTCTCCACCATTTAGACCACCAAGGCTTGGAGAACACAGAAGGAATGAATGAGAGCCAGGCAGACGGGTTCCTGAGGGCCGCGCCCCCAGACCACACATTTCTCCGCTCAGAGCCAGCCCACCTCACACGCCATCTCCCTTCCCCCACCCAGGAACAACCCAACCTCCCACCCCCTCAGCAGGGCCAGCCTACCCTCAGACTGCTCTCCTGCCTCCATCACTACAGCCCAACCTCCTACCCTCCCCTTCCCCAACCCAGGGCCACCCCGCCATCCCACCCCTCACCAGCACCAGTCCTCCTTCATACTCCTCCCTCACAGGGCCACCCATCCTCCCGCCCCTCACCAGGGACAGCCTGTCCCCCCACTCCCTCCACCAAGGCCACCCTGCCCTCCTGCCCCTCACCAGGGCCAGCCTGCTGTCCATGCTCCTCTGGTGCTCATAGGTCAGGTCACAGGCGACACACAGGGCACTGCCCAAGCCTTTAGTCAGGGGCAGGTTGGGGTCAGCTCCCTGGGTCAAGAGCTCCTTCACCACCTGAACAAACACAGGCAGGCTCATGAGTGGCCACCATGTCACCTCCCCTGACAGAGGGGAAGTCCCCAGAGCTGGGCCACTCCAGAACGAACCCCTGAAAACCAGGGCCTCACGAAGGCCACCGCTGGCCCTTCCCATGGCCCCTACCCGCAGTGGGTCCCATAGAGGATGGCGCTGGGCACCGAGGGGCCCTATGGCTGGTCCGTTAGGGAGGATCTGGAACTCTACTCAGGTGGGCCAGTTCCAGCACTTTCTCTGTCCCCTGACAAGATGGGGATTCTCCAGTGCGGTCCTAGCTCCCAGACAGAGCCAGGCCCAGGGGCCAGTCCCCCAAGCACAGGGTTGGGGGCACATCTGCCTGGTGCCCAGGCCGTCGCCTCTGCCCGGGGGCACCGGTGTCATTGTGACCACTCAGCCAGATGCAGAATGAGGCACATCTCCATCCTCCTACTGGGTCCCCAGCCACCAGCTCAGATTCCACCCAGGAAGCAGGACAGCCAGACATGGGTCCTTAGTGTGTGGCTCACACAAGCTTCAGAACAAAGCACTCTTCCCTCCACGTCCCTGCCTCTGACAGGGCCTAGCCCTGAGCAGGGGCCCATTCGACTTAACTGAGTGGATGGCTCCTGCAGGAGAGAAGGAAGCAGGGAGCAGATGTGCTGCCTCTGCAGAAGCCCCTGGAAGCCCCTTCTACATCACCAATGCCTTCCACTTCTGCAGACCTCTGCTGAAATGTCAGCTCATCTGAAAGGCGCTTCACGCCACCCTGCTAAAGCGCTGCCTTCCCACAGCCGCCTCCCTTCACCAACCTTGATTTCCTTCAGAAGCCTTGTCATTTCCTGAAACTGTGTTACATACTAGTGTATGGTCTGGCTCCCGCAACTAGACTATAGGATCCTTGAGGGCAGAGACTGTTTAATTCAATTCCTAGTGCCTAGAATGGTGCCTGCCAGGTACATAGCAGATGCCCAGTAAATAGCATTTTAATGATAGATGGATGAATGGATGAACAGGTGGATGGTAGAGCCCTCCATCTGGGTGAATGAAGGACGATGTCTGGGTGGGTGGATGGATGGACAGATGGACAGACGGATGGATGCACGAACAGATGAATGAATGGATGAGTGGATGAATGAGTGGATAGGTAGCGGGGTTGATACATGAGTTCTTGGTTAAAAGAATGGATGACGGATGGATAAGAGGATGAGTAAGTGGGTGGGTAGCTGGGTGGGTGAACGGGTGAGTGGAGGATGGATAAGTGGATTGGAAGATGAGTGGGTAGATGGATGGTTGGATAGAAGAGTGGGTGGGTGAGTGTATGGACAGGTAGACAGCTGAGTGGATGAGTGGATGGGTAGTTGGGTGGACAGATGGGTGGGCAGATGGACGAATGGATGGATGGATGGTTGGACGGATGGACGGATGGATGGATGGACAGATGGATGGACGGATGGACAGACGGATGGATGGATAGATGGACAGATGGATGGACGGATGGACAGACGGACGGATGGATGGATGGATGGACAGACGGATGGATGGATGGATGGACGGATGGACAGATGGACGGATGGTTGGACGGACGGATGGACAGACGGACGGATGGATGGATGGACAGATGGATGGACAGATGGACAGACAGACGGATGGACGGACGGATGGATGGATGGATGGACGGACAGATGGACAGAAGGACGGATGGATGGATGGACAGATGGATGGACAGATGGACAGACGGACAGATGGATGGACGGACGGATGGATGGATGGATGGACGGACAGATGGACAGAAGGACGGATGGATGGATGGATCTTCAAGTCCCAGTGACTGACTGGTGGGGCGGGCAGTGGGGATGGAAGCACATAGGTGCGCAGGTCTGTGGGTGCAGAACGTGCTCACCAGGTCATTCCCACTGGCGATGGACAGGGAGAGCGGGGAGTGGCCACTCCACAGCAGGTCAGGGTTTGCTCTGTGGGACAGAAGGAGCCGGACGATGTCCCTGGCACACTGGGTGGGGAGAAAGGCAGAGCATGACAGGTTAGAGAGGTCCCCCACCCACAAGGAGCACCCGACGGTGGTCAGTAACGTACATGCCATGAAATCAGTGTGGCCGCTGAGTGGCGACCTCCCCCAGCCGTTTCCTTGCCTGGCACAAGGTGTTCAGAACTGTGGATGGATGGACGGATAGGTGAACGGTGGGGAGGTGGATGGGTCTTCAAATAAAGAAGATTTTTTTTTCTTTTCTTTTTCTGAGATGGAGTTTTGCTCTTGTTGCCCAAGCCGGAGCTCAATGGCATGATCTCAGCTCACTGCAACCTCTGCCTCCCAGGTTGAAATGATTCTCCTGCCTTAGCTTTCTGAGTTACTGGGGTCACAGGTGTGTATCACCATGCCTGGCTAATTATGGGTTTTGAGAAAACCCACAGAGACGGGTTTTCTCCATGTTGGGCTGGTCTCAAACTCCTGACCTTGTGATCTGCCCACCTCAGCCTCCCAAAGTGCTGGGATGACAGGCGTGAGCCCCCGTGCCTGGCCTAAACGGAGAAGATATTTTCTAAGCATTCATCGTTTCCAAATGAAAACTAGGACAATGATGCATCTGTTGATTTAAAGTTTGTTTTCAGAGGACAAGGGACAGTCTGGACCACATGACCACGTGGCAGGTCCTGGCATACAGTGGGTGTGACTGAAGGAGCACCTCCTCCCCCAGGGCTCAGAGACTGTAGAGGATGGCCTGAGTGTGAAGAGCCCCACCCTCGGCACCAGGAAGGTGGGCCCATCCCTGCCATCCCTGCCTTCCCATCCTCCTCCCTCATCCCTGCCATCCCTGCCTCCTCGCCCCTCCCCCGTGTCACCGTGCACCCATTCTCACACACAGCACTCCTGCACACTCATCCGCATGCTGATGTCAGGACCACACAAGTGACCACCTTGCCGAAGGCCCAGGATCATTAATTTCATTTATAAGTGGGTAAACTGAGGCTCGGTGTGCCATGTGCTCATGGCCAACTGACTTAGGCTGCATCTGCTACCACACGGCAAAGCTGAGACCTAGCCTCAGTTTCCCCACATCCACCCCAGCCGCTGGGCATCTTTAGAGTGGTTCCCACACCCAACTTGGTAGGAATTAACCCCCAAGGCAGCAGCCACAGGGCCAGGGGGACAGGGCCCAGGGCTCTGGAAGACGTGACCTGCCCTGGGGTCCTGAAACACACGAGAGTGACAGAGGAGGGTTGGCAGCGTGGGACGGATGGTCACAGCCAGGTCCAAAGCTCCCACACATGGCTGACCAGGCCCTGGGGTAAGCAACCAACTTGATGCCGCCCCCACCACCGTGCATGCACACGCGTGTGTGTGTGAGTGCAAAATCCCATCCTCCACGCGCCCCGGCTTCTGCCTGAGACTCAGCCTGAGAACCGTGCCCCCCTGCTGGCAGCCCCGCGCCCGCCAGCCCGGCCCTCACCTTGTTGCTGTCCTCCCGCTCACAGGCCACGTGCAGAGCCGTCCTGCCCCCCTCCTCAGGGAGGGGCGGGTGCGTGCCGTAATAGGCTCGGGGAGGGCCTGGCTCATTGCTGAGCTTCAGACTGGAGGGCAGCAGGTCCACCTGTGTAAAATGGAGGTCTCTGCCAGTGCCCACGGACCTGCCGTGTACCCACGGGAACAGTGAGGGCACGAGGGAGCCGCCTCCCCAAACTGGGGTTCTGGAGTCTCACCCCGCTAAACCCTCTTGAAAACCGATGCCTGGCTTTCTGTGTGCCTGTCCCTGAGACACCCCAACATCCACAGGGGTCACAGCCATTGTGCCCTCCCCTCCCGGGCCCCCCGCGCTGAGCGGCACACACCCATGTCCAGCATGAACACGTGCTGTGTGCCAGGAACTGGACGAGGGAAAAGGCGAGCAGCGGAGCCCCTGCCCTCAGGCTGGACCCTGTGGAGGAAGGAAGACGGGGCCTCACAGTCCGTGATGGGGGTCTTTTAGAGCTTGGTAGGGCCTGGGGGGACAGGATGGCTTCGGCTGGGAGGAGGCCCTGGGGACATGGAACTGGCCTCTGTCTGCAAAGACAAACCTTCCGAAAGGCGTGAGACGGCTGCCTGCAGCAGGTCCTCATGGGGACCCCATGCTTGCGGGCTGCCGGAACTAACATGTTCTTAGCTCATTCCAACCAAGCATTTCGGCCTCTCGAGATCAGAAGCCCGCTGGCTAAGGCTGGCATCCGGACGGGTTTTCTGTGCCATCTCCACTGCCGGGGCCCCAAGCCAGCAGGCCCTTCAGGCAGGGCATAGGGCATGACTCCCTCCAGGCTTGCCCAGCCAAGGCCCCACACCCCCGCCGCGGGTGGCGAGGCACACACCCTGCCGGGATCGTAAGTGTCGTCCTCATCGGCTGCCTTGGCGTCCACGTCGGTGATGGCGTGCAGCAGCAGCTCCACAATCCGGACACCCTCCTCCCCAGGAAGGGCTGCAGCGATGTGGAGTGGCGTCAGGGCGCCCAGCTGTGGAGGAAACACCGGGGCGGGGTGAGGCACATGCTCGTGGGGAGACACAGGTGAGGTGCCTAGGGGACCCAAATGCCAGGGATGTGGCTGAGATGCCGAGGGCACCATTCTCAGCCTCACCATCCCCACAACGTGCAGGACACTGGTCCCTGAAGGCAGCGTGGGCAAAGCTCCCAACACACTGAGCAGACCACACCTGCTGCTTCCAACGCCTACTACGCCTCTGTCCACCACGGCCATGGGTAGGAAGGCTGGCCCCGAACCAGTGTGATTCTAAGCCACCATCCACACCCTCCTCTAAGAAAAGCCTCTCCCTGCCCTTGCCAGGCCCACCAGCTCCTGTGACCTCCTGACTCCAGCCCCTGACCTGTCCATTCTCCACCCAGTGTCCCCAGCCATCAGCTGACAGCATCCACAGAGGGCACCCCGACTCAGCAGTGACACAGAGGTGTTTATAGGGGCCGCAGCCTCTGAAAGCAGCCCTGCCAGTCCAAGGGAGAGCCCGGCTGGGAATGGACAGTGGGCCTTGGATCAAGAGATGCTCCCCAACCCCTTAAAGACCAGCCTCACTCAAACAGGAAAGAGAAAAGCACCCAGGAGGGCCCACTGAGGGAGAGCCAGACAAGCTTGGATGGTAGGAAGAGCCACCAGCATGAGGACCAGCCAGAGGAACTTGAGAAGAGCAGCTGGGTGTGCCCATACAGGCTCATCCACCGATGACCCAGGGAGATGGCTGGGGCATGTGAGGCAGAGGGCAGGGCACAGTCCAGGCAGCTGCTGAGTCCCAGAAGAAGCAGGACTCTCCCAGCTTGACAGCAGCCCCTGGGACCCCCACACAGCCCAACACCCACAGCCTCAAGCATGACCAGGGCAGCAGCACCTACGCCCAGCAGAGGCATGCAGCAAGAGGAGAGAAACAGGAGCACAGTGCAGGCATCGCCTGTTGTTGGGGAGGCCAGTGCTGCAGGCGACAATCTACTGACCCCAGAGAGACGCAGACCCACGCAGCCAAGGGGAGAAAGGGCAGCCGGCCGCTCCGTGGTAACCGCAGCCCCAGTTACCAGGAGGCACACGAGGCCATGCATTCACGACAGTCAGCCGGAGGCCACATACTTGCTACATGTCATGTCACCCCTAAAACAGCAGCAGCAACAGCAACAACTGAGCTAGTAACAGAACCGATCCAGCTGAGGCATGAATCAAGAGAGGATTAAGCTGAGGAAGTTCCCCAAAACAGCAGAAGCACAAAGACACAGAAAACAGTCCAGAACAAAATCTGGGGACATGAGAGACAGAGCTGGAGTTCTAATATCTCTCAGGTAGGAGCTGAGAAATGGAGAGAAATACTAGAGAAATAATACAAGAAAACTTCACAGACCCACAGCTCTGACCCAGTGCTAAGGTGACGTAAGAGGAAGGGAGGGAATTAACCCTTACAAGACACAAGAGATTGGGGGACATCACACTTCTCATTAAGTCCCAGGAGTCCTGGAAAGGCAGAAGACAGTGAGGTAGGACCTTCAGAGGTCTAAGGGAAAACAGTTTGGAACCTAGAATTCTGTACCCAACTAAACTATTATTCAAGCAAGAGGGTAAATGGTGGCAGTTTCAGCAACATGAGGGCTCAGTTTCCCACCACAGATCCTCTCCACACAGATGTCTGATGACACTCTGCCAGAAGCACAGAAGGAATCTACGAGGAAGCTGAGAGGCACAAAATGCAATGAAGAGCAAAGAACCCCCTGACTGCCAGGTCAGGGAAGACGCAGTTAGAGGGGAACTGGAGCCAGGTGCTGATGTTCTGCGCTCGCTGAGAGAGGCTTGTTCCATCTGGTCTGCATTTCCTCATATATTAATATCAATAAGATCCCAATGGGCATGAGTGTATATCCAGGTTGTAGAAAAACTGTGGTTCTGCCCAACCTGAAAGGTAGGCATCCTGTCTCTGAGAGCCAAATCCCAACATCTGGCTGTGACACATCAGGGTGTTCGCAGGAAAACGTGGCTCTTAGAGATACACTGTGAGCCCAGTGCTGCCACCAACATTCAGTATGAACATTTACATACTTGGCAATTCTGTGAAATACCAGGCGTTATGGGAATTAACCAAGGAGCTTTAGCTCTGCTGCAGTGGGCATTGCCCAGAGCCTTAACAGTGCGGCTGAACAGTGAGGGGCCTTTTGCCCCCAACAAGTAAAATGTCCACGGGAAAAGGACTCCGGATGCCTTCAGACCCCAGAACAAATGCTCAACCCCACCACCAATAAAAGAAATGCAAATTCAAGCCATGCTGAGGTGTTGTTTTCCAGCTGTGGAGTGGTGGCAGCTGTGCCTGACAAGGCTCCGGGGGCGTGAATGCCAGCCTTGCTGGTGGGGTGTGGCAGGCAAGTCCCAGGAAGGCCACTCGGCACCTGCTCTCCTAATTCCTAACACATGGGGTCAGCAGGACCACTTTTATTCTTGTAGATAGAATTGCACACGTTCTGCAGATGTCTGGGTCGATTTCTTCGTGGCATCTCTGTCACTTCGGTAGTGACACATTCATCTGGCCCCTGTGGATGCAACAGTCGTTTTACACATGTCTCTAACCGGTGTTTGAAACTGGCCCAATCATCCAGTAGAACTGATGTTTATGGTTTCCTTTGAATAAACATAGAAATTGACCCTCCCAATCTGAAAACTTGAGAAGGTTAAGTTTGTTTTATCTCAGCTCCTTTCTCAGGAACCCTCAGGCCTCCCAGACAGCATCAAAGAGCTGAATGCACCAGATCGTGGCATCTAGAGAGTGAGAAGGCAGACGCCCCTCCCTTCATGACTGCCTCATCTGCCACCTGATTCCTGCTACCCGACTCCTCTTCCTCACTCTGCCTAATTCATGTTTTCCCACACATGGTTACATTTCCTCCTTGCAATAAAAACCCCTAATTGTAGTCAGCTGTGGAGACGGATTTGTGCCTGATCTCCCACCTCCTTGGCAGCAGCACCCTATTATAGCCTTCTTCCCTGGCAATACTCATCTCAGTGGTTGGCTTTCTGAGTGGCAAGCAGCAGGACCTAGACCAAACGCCTGCTGTTTCGGTAACAGATTTTGGTTCCCTGACCAGGAATGCATTGCTCATGGCTCAGCTGCTATGGGCAGAGTTCTGAAGTGCCCCCCGCCCCCTCAAGCAACCGCCTCACACTTTTTTGGCTGAAGATAGATTCCGATCTTTCTCCTTGGCCACACCACTGCCAGCCTCAGCAGCATGCCTGACTGCCTAGGAAGAACAGTCTTTGAAATTTGACATTCGTGTCCGGGTGGGTGACTATCTTTTGTGGATGCCAGACAGCAGGATCTGCTCCCACCACTTTGGGGAAATTCCAAAGGAATTTCCATTTGCAGGTTGAACAGGCCTGGCTGACTGAGAGAGTAAGCACCGACTATTTCAGCTGGGACGCCCTTGGGGCCTGTTTGTTGCTGCAGCAGTTGGATTGTGTTTTGGTGACTGTTTGTGTGTGTTGATACAGTCATGGGAAATCAGAATAAACTGATCCTCTTTTTGGCCCTGATATTCTTTGGACTCTGGAGAAGTTTGTCCTCTCCATGGGCCTCATTTTACATTTGATGGGAAAGTGAGATGAGTTCCCTGTGTCCAGGATTTTATGTTGCTGTTCTAAGCAAGGTTGAGCCTGCTTAATAGATTATGTTCTTCTGTGGTGCTGCTTAGCCGAAGGGTTCTCTGGGGAGGTTTGGCCTTTTAAAATCAAACCAATATGGAAACTGCTTTACCCCAAAGTTTGGTTCACAGCCTTCATTCTATTACCTATTAGGGTGAACAAAGTTTGGCCATGTGAACGTGTCTATTAACTGATGAGTTTGTATTGCTATCTCATGGCTAGAGTTCCAAGGTAAAAGCTATTGAATCTTTGTGTGTGCGTATGTTTAGGTGTGTTTATGTTGTACATTCATTATGTTCTATGTTGTGCCCACAAAACTGGCTTATAAATAACTAAGCTCATAAATTAAGAATTCCAAACAATTTTCAAGTTCAAATGACTAAAGTAAACCTTAAACATACTGAATTTAACATTATTATTAAGATAAAAATACAAATGTTTTTAAAATTGTCAGCATATATATTTATCCAGGTTTTATATTTGTCTCTGCTAGATATTTTGAGGTTCCAGGGTTAGGCACAGAAGGTTATAAAACTGTAAATCCAGCCAAAACAAAATGATCCTTGTGTGACTTTTTTTGACAAATAAGAACTGAGTACATGTAAATGAGAATAAACAGTTGTAGTAAACTTTTTTTTGTAATTTGAAATCTTAAAGTCATTTTTCATGCTCCTTGGATATCTGGGTCATTTCCAATTAAGAAAGGCTTATGATATGGGGAAACTTTTTTTTTTAATTGTGGAATATACTCATCTATAAAATGCTAATATTTCTTGAAAATTAGCATCCTTAGAATTCTCAGGATTTCTTGCTTCCTAGTTTTTCACTAAAATTTAAGGTTATTAAGAATAAAGATTATAGTTAATATATAGTTATATGCATAAGATGTGCCAAAGAAGATGTGTCCTTATTGAAAAAAACAATAGTTTTGTCTAATTCAAAAGTTACCTAGGCCAGGCATGGTAGCTCATGTCTGTAATCCCAGCACTTTGGGAGGCCAAGGTGAGATTGCCTGCATTCAGGAGTTTGAGACCAGCCTGGGTTACATAGCAAGACCTTGTCGCTACTAAAAATTAAAATTAAAATTATCCAGGAATGGTAGCACACACCTGTAGTCCCAGCTACTCAGGAGGCTGAGGTGGGAGGATCACTTGTGCCCAGGAAGTTGAGGCTGCAGTGAGCCATGATCGTGCCACTGCATTCCAGCCTGGGTGACAGAGTGAGACCCTGTCTCAAAAAAAAAAAAAAGAAAAGAAAAAAGTTACCTAAAGGTTGATTTGAATTGTTAACTTGAAAAGATTATTTATGAAACAAGGTATTAATAGAAAGGAACCAGTAAG